TTTGATTGTTTAATTGATTTGTAAAAGATGATTTGTAAATGTTGATTTGTTTAATTGATGTTTACATAATATTTGTGCTTGTTTAATTGATTGAAATGTAATAGTTGATTTGTTGATTTCAATCTGCATTATGTTGAATGCAAAACAGACTGTCGCAACGCGGAAATGACTATCGCAACGAGAGAATCGCAATGCTAAAATGAAAATCGCAACGCGAAATTAATTTCGCGTTGCGATTTTCATTTTCGCATTACGATTCACTCGTTGCGCTTTTCATTTCGCATTGCGATTCTCGTTGCGTTGCGATAGTCATTTCCGCGTTGCGATAGTCATTTCCGCGTTGCGATAGTCAATTCCGCGTTGCGATAGTCATTTCTGTGTTGCGATAGTCATATTCGCGCTGCGATTTCCGCGTTACGATAGTCAAATGAATGTCTAATAAGTGATACCAACTGAACATATCATAGCAATGTTAAAACTCAAGTTACTAATACATGACTAACTGAAAAAGTTAAAAGTTCACACATAATATACACATAATAGCACGTTTGCATTTAAAAATCACCTAAGTTAACAGTCCCAAAAGGTGAAGCCGGTTGTGATTGGGATTTTGGTGGATCCATATTTTGGTAGAGGAAAAAATGATTGTGATGGCACTGGTGATCCACATGTCAACCTTGTATGACCACTTTCCTTGCACCGACTACATGTCGATCTCTTCTTCTCTTCACCCTTAGACGATATACGATCGTGACTTTTTTGTCGGCCAGGTAGCATTCTGTCCATGGCTGGTGGAAAAACTGTTTGTAAGTCATCTGGTATGTCCCACTCACAAGGATGTAGAATAGGGTAGACAATCTCGCCATAAGTCTGTCGATATACTTCTATAGTGTAGCAATCCATAGCGTATGCGATTGAATCATCTTGGTTTAGATGAAGAGAAACTTTTATAACATGGCCACACGGATAACCAGATGTTTGCCATTTCATACAACTACACGTCTTTGCATTTAGATCGACAAGCCCATTTAAGTTATTATCCAGTACTTCAAATAAAGTGTTTGAACATGGTTCAACTCTCCATGACGTTAACTTCACAACACGTTTCGTTATCTTTTATTCTGTCCATGGTGTAACACGATGTTCCAATGTTCCTGTAAATTTAAATAAATAATACTTAGTAAAATATATGATAAGTTACGAATTTAAAGAAATAATACCAGCATGGTTTCTTTTCTTGTAGTACCACTGTTGAATAGAGGCTCGAAAAAACTCCATTAATATAGTAATGGGTAATTTCCGGGAATGACGACTTAGAGCGTTGATTGATTCTGCACTATTAGACGTCATGAAACCATATCTTGCTCCAAGTTGATGTACTCTTGACCATCTTTCAAACCCGACATCTTCTAGTGTTTGAGCACATTGAGGCAAAACACGTCTTAAACAGTTTATATGCTTATTAAAATCCACTTCCCGATAAGCTTTTACAGCCTTCCAGTATGTCAATTTGTGATTTTTTTACCAGCAGACCTTGATTTTAGATTTCTATACAAATGAACACCACAAAGTCCATGAAAAACATCTGGGAAACACCTTCTAACAGCGTTGTCAGTTGAGTTTTCCCTATCGGATATGATTGTCAAATTGCTAATAGGACCTATGCAATCCCTAAGATGCCCCATAAACCATGTCCATGAATCAGAGGTTTCAGATTTGCCAACCCCGTAAGATATTGGCAGTATCCCATTGTTAGCATCCATGGCTACTGCTAATAAGTTTACTCCAAGGTATCGACCTTTTAAATGTCCTCCGTCAACTATAATAACTGGGCACATGCAATTAATAAACGAACGAATCTACAAAATCATATACACAAGAAATATAATCATTTAAATGTGAAATGCATGTAACTAACAAAAATGAGTCAACAAAATTATATTGATTTACTAACCGCAGCACCAATTGCGATAAACAGCAACTCAAAGCATCCATCTCTATCTGTTTTGATATGAGTTACCGACCCAGGATTTTTCAGCTTTAAATTGTGACAATAAGCCGGCAGTTGGCAAACGATGCTTCTGGCGACCCCCTCAACAATTCCAAGGCATAACATTTGGCTCTCCAAGCTTGAGAATATGAGATACTAATCTTGAATCGAGCATTCATGTCAGTCATAATTTCATGTCCCCGATATACCCTGCCATTCAAAAACATTAACTCAGCCAGAAAACCACCCAACACCTTTTTGTTTGCCTGTCTATGGTGAGGAAAAACTTTGTTTCTTGAACATGTATGTTTATCAATAAAAGTCCTAACTTGAAACATTTCGTAATATTTTATCCTCTTTGCAATCATATGCCACGTACAGTTTTTGTCAATCATACACCTTGTTTCGAAACGATCTTTGCTTGATTTGTTAACTTTTAGATGATAGCCATCTTCCACACATTTCGTATACAAAGCTATCTTCAAGTCTTCCTTTGTATCAAAACAATCATCTTTCTTGATACGAATAATTTTTGTGTAACAATCAACTGCTATCTTTACCAACTCTTCTTCCGGTATTTGAAGTAATTCTGGCATATTCCAGTTATACTCCCGTGGCATTTTCTTCGGGGACTTTTCTTTGGGGATTTATTCTTCTTCTTTTTCTTCTTCAGTGTTATATGAATTACAGAATGGATGTTCAACATGTTCATTTACAGTCGTAACTTCCTCCTCATTATCATCAACAACATCTTCCTCGGCAACGGCTGTTTCATCATCAAAATTCGGGTATTAACCAATATCAAAATCATTACACGCAGGGTCTGTTTATTCTTCTGAAAAATCATCAAAATCCGAGTATTAACCAAGATCAAAGTCCGGGTATTGACCAAGATCAAATTTCGAATACTGACTAGTACTCACAATTTTTTCTGTTGGCTCATCATCGTCTAACTGGTCAATACGAAAACCGGAATTTGGTGCTGAAAGTTGATTGGGATTTGGATTAGGGAAAGGTTGTGGGTTTTGAGATTGTGTTTGGTATTGGAAATGTGGTGAAACAAAATTTGCTTGGTGATGAAATTGTGGTGGAACCATTAAATTTTGAGCACCATAAACTGGGGTTGAAAAACTTAGTTGATTATTACCCGCTACTGACCCAACTTCACTACTTCTAGGTTCAACAACATACAATGTAACATCATCACTTAAAATACTAATGTAAGCAATGAATCGTTCAACATCTTCATTGTCGGTTAACAAATAAACTTTATCATTTCTCTGATAAGATAGCCTAAATCCACTTAGGGGCTCTAAATTCAATTTATTTGCAACACGTAACATTAGAGTTTCATAAATTAACTTTTTTAATGACAATTTTAGTTGAAGATTCATGGGTAAAGGCATATATTGTAAAACACCATGAACATTCTCCCATGACCCTCCAAAACACAAATCTATCCAAACATGATCAACATTAGATGATTTCATTATTGTAAATTAATTTACTAAACAAACGAGTTGTGAAACTAAAACATGTTACCGGATGGGGAAGGATGTCGTTGGATATAGGAACGGATGTCGCCGGAGAGAGTGATAGATGGAGATGAAATGAGTTGCGATTTAGGGATTTAGGTTACGAGTTGCTGCTGCTGCGTAGTTATATACCCAAAACATTTGTATTGCGAAACTAAAACCTGTTACGAATTCAGAAATCGAGTTGCGAATTTGAAATTCAGTATTGCGATAGTCAGAATCTCGTTGCGATTTACAGATTCGCATTGCGATTTACAGAATCGCATTGCGATTTACCTATTCACATTGCGATTTACGTAATCGCATTGCGATTTACGTAATCGCATTGCGATTTTCCAAATTCGCGTTGCGATTTACGTATTCGCATTGCGAATTAGGAAAATCGCATCGCGAATTTGGAAAATCGCAATGATAGTCAGAATCGCGTTGCGAATCTAGATACTAATTTGCGATACCGGAGATCGCGTTGCAAATTATCGATCGCATTGCGATTTAGTTGGTCATTTTGGCAAATCCAAAAAAAGTTGGTTAAAATTGTATATTATAAGGCATTTTTGATCACTGAGGTTATTTTCTCTAATAAAATACGTTATCAATTTTATTATTATTTTTTTAATATTTACAGTAAAAATTACCTAAAACATTATTAATTCTATCAATTTTATTATTATTGGATTCTTTACCGGTTTTGTTAACATATTCGATAAAGCGTTACTTAAAATATTATTTTTTACCTATTTTATTATTATTGGGCAGTTTACCGAAAAATGTTAAAAATATTAATGTTTCAGATAGAAATAATAATATTTTAGGTAATTTTTTTATCAAAAATATTTAAAAAATAATAATAAAACCGATAACATATTTTTTAACCGTATATTAAAGATGTCGCACGATAGAATTTCCCATTTTCATGTTACTATTTCAGCCATGATAGCTCAAGTTTATGGTGAGATGTCAATTCAAATGTCCAATGTTTAAAATATAATTTATTAATATAAGGTTAAAAAATAATAAAATTTTATTATAATTGAAAATTTTATTAAAGTATAATTTTTTTTATGTTGGATAGTGTAATATTTTAAAATTATATTAAATTAACCTTAAATTAAGTTACTGTTTAGTAAAATTGTCGTTTAATTATAAGATGAATACAATGTAATATCAATTCAAAGAATTTCATATTTGATATTGAATATTCAAATTCCTCTATATATGATGCTTGAAGTCGATACCTTAAAAAATAACAACAATTCATTAATTATTAAAGTTATTTGGTTCGTGCTTCGTATAATTAATTAACTAAAATTTGTATATCCTTGATCTAATACTTTATTATCTGTCAAAACCAAAATTTATATCACAAATAAAAATTATTTTCATCTTTTATTTAAAATAAACTACCATTTATTTAAAATATAGATTTTTATATTACACCCACATTAGTTAGATGTCACATCTCACAAGACTTTCATGCATATATATATAGCACTGAAACAAATATCATCTTCCCTGTGCTTCTAGGCAACATTAATGGAAGCGTTATAAGGAGCAGAAAGCAGGATAAGTTCATTTTTCCTCCTCACAGACATGCCAAACACCTCTGTCATGACCAAGTCTTCTTCCTTCATTCCACTCGGCAACTTCCAATCAAAATGGAACAGCAGTTGGGCAAGTGGAAGCTCTACATTTGGTAATGCGAATAATATGCCTGGACATATCCTTCTTCCAGCTCCGAATGGGATGAACTCGAAATTTGTGCCTATGAAATCGACTGAATTGTTCATAAATCGTTTGGGGTCGAACTTTTCAGGCTCGACCCAGTGATTTGGATCTCTCCCGATCGCCCATGCATTGATGATGACTCTAGTCTTGGATGGTATGTCAAATCCATTAACCTTACAGCTTTGGCTGCATTCTCTTGGCAGCAACAATGGGAAAACAGGGTGCAGTCTCAGGGTTTCTTTTATAACACAGTTTAGATATTTGAGTTGGTGAATGCCTGTTTCATCTACGTTTCCTTTGCCTTGAAATGCTTCTCTTACCTCATCTTGTGCTTTTGCCATAACTGTTGGGTTTTTAATCATTTCTGCCATTGCCCAATCTACAACTGTTGCTGATGTCTCACTCCCGCCGCTGAAAATGTCCTGAAACACCATGAAAAGGCCATTCAATTTTATACATATACATATATAGGTTTGTGAAAGAGAATGGACTCACAAAGATGATGGCTCTGACGTTGTTATCAGTTAAGGGGAATTGGTCATCTTCTTGAATCCTTAAAAGAACGTCAACCAGATCTTCCTTGCCTACATCTTCACTTCTGGTTTTTGTTTTACCTTTGTGTTCATTAACAATGTTCCCAAGTATCCTATCGGACTCTCTATGAATCTTTTCAACTCTCTGCTTTAGACCCGAAACTACATCCAGGAATTTTAGCGAAGGAAAAAATTCGGAAATAAAGAAACCAGAATTCACCTTGGATTCTTCTGATATAGTCGATATGAAAGCACCTTGATCTTTGCATTTCTTACCAAAAGCAGCCCTTGCTGTTATGGCGTAAGTCGCTGAAAAAACTTTTTCACTCAGATTCACAGGCAACCCTTCGTTTGCTTTCATTGTTTCGACCATATTCAACACTTCCTCTTCTCTTATCGATCGGAACGAACCGACCCGAGCCGCGCTCAGAAGCTCCTCGTTGCAAATTTTGCGCAGTTGTCTCCAATAGTTTCCTAATGGTGAAAACGCGATGTTAGTGCACTCATAAGTTGTAATCATGGCGACAACAAGGAAAGGCCTATAAGCAAAGACGACATCATGCGTTTTCAAAATCTCCTTAGCCATTTCAGGAGAAGAAACGACCACAGTGGAAACTTGACCGAGCTGCAGGTGCATGAGGGGACCATGTTTGATAGCCATGTCCCGTAGGGTTCGATGGGGTAGAGCAGAACCGGCGACCTGGTGCAGATTTCCGATCAAAGGTAATTTCCATGGCCCTGGAATCAAGTTTGGAACTAAATTCCTAGCTTTTGATTTCCCGATCATCATAAACAAAACCAGAAAGAAGAAGGTGATGAGAACCTGGAATAAAGATACTTGGAACTCCATCAGCACAAAGAAGAGAAAGCCTGAATTTTGCTAATCACAAGTGTTTAAGATCATTCTGGTAAGGTTCTAGTTACATTGAACTTATAAATGATGTATTTGTCTGGTACTGTACCCATTACTTCTATGCTTTTGCAGATTTCCACCACCATGACTAGGTAACGGACCATTTGCTTTGAAGTGATGGAAATTTGATTAAGCCACCTGTCTAATTTGATTAAGATGATGCATGAAATTAATGGTTTTTACTTTTACAGAACAAAGCACTACACAGTTCTGCACGTTGTCCACGTGGTAGCTAGTCTGTGAAGAATCTTTGTATCGAGCAATGCATGTCAGGTTGATTTATTCATAATTGGGTTAAGAAAACTTGAAATTGATACAATATAAAACCCAAGAAGAAGCCCAAACAGCAACAGAAGGAAACAAAATGTGGGTTTCTTTAGTTTGAAACCAGACCAGGATCTAGCAAAGGAGTGTTTCTTGTGTAAACTACATTATTAATAGCTTAACTATCATTTTTGTTATGTTTGGATAGTTTAGTTATTTTTAAATAATCCATAATGTTACATTTTAATTTCATTTTAATCATTTATTGTTAAAAAATTAGTATAATTATTGATGTGACATTTTTAATGTTGACGTGATATTAACTTATGATGATACGTCATATTATGGTTAATTTTTTAATAATAGATGTTCAAAATAAAATTAAAATATACCGTTAAATATGATTTTAAAGCAACTAATAGTTTAGTGACTCAAACGAAAAAAGGTGATAGTTTATGTGTATTTACCGAAAAATCATTGAATTTTTTAATTTACGTGTCAGACACCGTTAGAAAAAATATTATGAATCTAGTACCCTTTGCATGATCCGCGCCTTAAGGTGACGTGGAGCCACGTGGGGTAAGGCACGGATCATCATCCGTGCCTATCTGGGATGAGTGTTAGATTAGTAATTTTTTTTTGAAATGGTGCCTAATATGTAATTAATTTATGTTAGGGTGATATTTGTGTAAAAACATCAATTTTCTTTCATATTTTTTTTGAAAAAAACTTTATGCATTAAAATCTTTAAATATGTTTTTACAAATTATTTTATAACTTGACAAATTTTGGTTTTTGTATGAAATTACACAATACAATTATGTTTACCAATTATCAATTGACACTTTCTAATGTCTTTTTGACCATTTTATAACACAATACGTGTAATCTAATATAGGAAAACTTTGAAGGTAAGTAATTTAAAATATGAATAATTTTATAAAAGTTGTATAACTAGTATTCTTTTTTCAAAATGACGATGATGATATAATAATAATAAGAAGAAATATTTTATAATTTAAAAAATTATAAATTTCATATATTTTTGAAAAATTTCTTAATTTTTAGAATTAATTATTTAAAAATATAAAAAATATTAAAATAAAATTACAATTACAATTGAAGGATCAAATGAATTATTATTCATTAATTATTATTTTTAACAACATTAAATAATTTTGATAATTTATGGCATAATACTTAATTTTAAAAATGAATACACATTATTAATGCTATTAAAAAATAATAATTAATGAATAATAATTCATTTGATCCCTCCATTTAATTAAAATTTTATTTCAATGTTTTTTATATTTTTACATAATTGATTTTAAAAGTTAAGATTTTTTTCAAAAATATATGAAATTTATAATTTTTAAAATTATAAAATATTTCTTATCATCATCGTCATCATTATCATTTTAAAAAAATTCTAGTAATAAATTTTTATTTATTAATTATTATTTTTTAACAACATTAATAATTTTAATAATTTATGGTCATTGTACTTAATTTTAAAAATGAATACACATTATTAACTGTTATTAAAAAATAATAATTAATGAATAATAATTCATTTGATTCTCAATTGTAATTAAAATTTTATTTTAATACTTTTTATATTTTTAAATAATTAATTTTAAAAGTTAAGAATTCTTTTAAAAATATTTGAAATTTATAATTTTTTTTAAATTATAAAATATTTATTATTATTATTATCATTATCATCATTTTAAAAAAGAAATACAAGTTATACAACTTTTATAAAATTATTCATATTTTAAATTACTTACCTCAAAGTTTTCCTAGCCTATACTATACATATAAGATTTTGAAACAGTCAAAAAGACATTAGAAAATGTCAAGTGGTAATTGGTAGACATAATTGTATTGTGTAATTTCATGCAAAAATCAAAATTTATCGAGTTATAAAATAATTTACAAAAACATATTTAAACATTTTAATGCAGAAAGTTTTTTCATACAAAAAAAATGAAAGAAAGTTGACGTTTTTACATAAATATCACTATAAAAAAATTAATTACCTATTAGATGCTATTTTAAAATTTTTATTGATCAAGCATTCATCTCATAAATGCGCAGATCATTACGTTAATGTAAGGAGCGGATCATTATGAAGGATTTTATTTTTTATGTGTATAATTGTACTGAAAATGGAATAATTTCAGGGCCTTGGTTTCTGCACCATACGTGGGATTGGATCTTATCTCTGCTCGCAAGCTTTCAAAAACTTTAGTTGAAGCTAAAAACAATTACAGTTTTCATTTCGAAAGATGGAGAAAAAGTAGCCGACAATTTCAGTGGAAGGACTGAGGATCTGCGTGCCATTGACATTCATTTTACCGTTGAAGTGTCCCACAGTGCCTTCTTTTTTCAAAAACCACCCAATCTGGGTCGGGCTGAAGCGGGTCAAGTTCATACCAGTTTATGAAGAATAGAAACATTACATAAAGTTGGTAAATAAAATTAATTGTATCTATTGAAATGCCTCTTCTTCCCCTCCTTATTTCCCATTTACCTTTATATTTTCATATCAAATTTGTTTGCATGGTTGAATGGTGTTAGAGGAAGCCCAAATTATATTAACTATTGCCAACTAACCGTTTCTCATTTATTCTTTTGTTTCTCTTTTTCTTTCTTCTTCTTTATTTCCCTTCCATTTGGAATGATAAATATCTTACGATTTAGATAGGTGATCGCAACATTTTTTCATAAATTATTATTTTTAATTTAAATGAAGAATCATTGGTACGAAAATTAGAGATAATTAAAATATAAACGTTTAAGTGAAATGATCTAAATCAGAAAGAAGGAAAAAGAAAAAAGAACAAATAAAATATCTCTCTCATCGAGTGAGAAAATTTTCTTATATTTTTTGTGTTTCCAGTGCCATGTAATAATCTTCAATAGATAATGGAGGAGATAAGAGTATGCTAATAGACTTGTTGGGGTTAGGGCTGTAAATGAGACGAGACAGATCGTGAGTTACTTGAGATCGACTCGGTCTAGGCTCGATAAATACTCGGATCGAATGGACTCGACTCGAATATTTAACGAGCCGAAACGAGCTACTTGACACTTGACTCGAAAAACTCAAATTAATTGTGCTCATGCTAAAATTTTATTTATAATTATCCTATACAAAATATTTCTATTATTAATTAGTATATACTCATCTTAAAAATTATTTTTGAATCCACTATCAGTGATAACAATGACATAAATTCACGTTCTTAAGATTTTTATTAATTTAACTTGTACATCTTTATTGTCATTTTTGTCGTTATATTTTTTATTTTTGATCTAATTTGATTGAGTTAAATGTTTATAATATAAGTAGAAAATAAATTTAATTTTAATGATCTAAGATGTAAATTGCAATAAATTTCTCTCACTAAACTTTAAAGTGAATCAATGAATGTAAAAAAGAAAAATAATAAATATTCTATAAAGAAAGGAAAAGAAGGGGCATATTGGGAAAGCCGTATTTAACGAGATAAATAACAAGAGTAGGAAAACTTAAAAATGAAAAATATGACGAAGTAATCAATCACCAGACACCAAACCCTGCTCGCTTAAGAAACTCCAAAAACATCCACTCTTTTCAACTCCATCTTCTTCCTCTAAAACAACAACCTTCATCAATTTTCTTTCTACATCTCGAATAAAAACACCATGGAAATCCCAGAAAAACTTGTGAAGTTCAAGTACCCAATAATCTTAACACTCGCTCTTTTACTCACCCTTTCTTCACTCATCATTTTTGCGCCTTCTTTTCTCACCATTTTTACCTACTTTTGGCCTCTTTTCCTCTCCACCGCTCTCTTCCTCGTAGCTGTCGTCTTCTTCGCCAAAACATCCCCTCATTCCGGCGGTTCTGACTCTCCGGCCGATAAGCCCGGCGAAGGCCTCCTTGACTATGTTGCTGGCCATCCCGAACTCACTGTTGACTCTTACAAATCTGAGTAGCTTCTCTTTTTTTTCAACTCGGTACTGTAATCTCTAACTCTCTTTCCTCAGTCTGCTGTATTTTCACCTTTTTTTTTTCTACTTTGAACTGTAATTTTTTGGAGGAATAATATTATTAATAATTAATTACTCAGTTACAAGTAGTTATTTTTTGTTCGAAATTCCAAGTAGTTTATTCTTCGTTACTTTTTTATTTTGATTCTGGCTAATGTATTACACTTTTTAACATTAAAACGATTTTCATTTTTGTTTAACAAGTTGAGGTATAGATTCTTAGAATTAGATAATCCATATTATTCCCTCACGATTAATCTGGGACGTTGATCTCGTACATAAGGCTAGGATGGGTGACTGACTGTATTCGTTCCTATGTTTGTGAATCGTATGTGTTCCATTGATGTGAGGGGGTCCCACAATTGGTGCGGCTGCTAGAAAATTCAAAGAGGGAATTTCCACTTTTAACCATGATCCCGTAATTCGCTGGTTTTATTTGGGTCCACTTAATCATTCAGCTTATTGATCTTTGATAGAGCACAATTGAATCGGATCGTACGACATGAGACACGTGTCTCGAATCGTCATGTTTTCTTAATTAATATATTAAAAGAATTTAAATAAAAATGCACATATAGCAGATTTGTAAAATAAAAGAAAATCCCATCATTATTGGTTGCGGTAAAAATACATTATACGTTGAAAGCATAAGCAGCATGCAGTTTTTACAACATACATATTAACCAGGGAAGGTTGAAAATTTTATAGCTTTCCAGGAGTATTTCAACCCCAAGGGAAGGTTGAAAATAACGGGGAAAATGGAGATCTAAACTCTCTAGAATAAATCTAATACAATTGATGACATTTTGATAGCACCATCATCATCGTCGTTGTCATTACTTTTCCGATGGTCGAGCAGGAATCGCGTTGAATACCGATCGATCTTTGATGTCGAGATCCTGCATGGTGGATGAGATATCCTCTTGCTTGATCTTTCCCGTATCTTTTAGCTTATATAAAATGAAATCAGCAGCCCTATTGGAAAACAAAGAAAGGAAAATCAAATGCAAACAAAACAATTAACATTAACAACGTATTAATGAAGTGATTTTACCCGTGAACTTTGTCTTTCTCAAGATCATCGGCAGCCTCAATTTCGTCCCTGTCAATAACGTTGCTTGCAATGACCCACTTCACAAATTTCTTTGCTTCAATATCTGTATAAACCTCTGCCATGTACAGAAACAGCTGGCCTAAACAGGACGTTCCGGTGAATATCCATATCGTGCCGAACGTTCGACCGAATTCGCTCGAGAAGCTTTCATCTCCGAAACCTACAGTCGTCATGGTGCTAATAGCGCAATATAATGCATCATCAGACTCCATTTTTTCGAGAGTACAGAGCACGAAGACACCGATGACGAAATGCACTCCCAAAACGGCCAACGATATCATACACTTGGTGTAGTCTATCTTCAGGTTTTCGATCTCGTTAAGGGCTTCCATCGGTCCGATTTTCCGAGACACCTGCAGGGCGTTAAGCAGAACCGCTTGTTGCTTGAACACCAAGTATTTTGCTGCTATTTTCACTACTATTCCGAACAGCAACATCCCTGCGGTGATTAAAACACTGCACACCAGTTCCGGAACGATACCGTGGGGGTAAAGGTCTCCATAACCAACGGTGGTCATGGTCACCACACACATGTAAAGTGAATCAATGAAATCATTTGTTTTGTGGCCTCTGATATGGTTCTTCAATACCAAAAGGCTTAGAGTTCCGATACCCGTATATATACCATAGTACATCCCGAGCTTCTTAAGGTCCGGGAGAACCGTCCGAATCGCACTCGGAACGGCACAATTTGCAGTTACGAAAGTCGATTTGCAACTCTGAATGGTTGTTTCCTTGGGATCATTTTCAATATTTGTTAAGTTTGGAAAGCCTGCATCAGCCATTGGCAACTTGGCTTGCTTTGCAGCATTGGAAGCCATTGCAATGATCGAGTTGAAGCGACCCAACATCAAGACCACCTGATAGAAGCAATTACAACATAAAATTTCTTTATAGAGCTAGAAAATGATGATATAGATACCTGAAACTTACCGATTTCGAGGAAACAGTGGTGATTCTATAAGAATCTGGTTATTAAGCTAAGGTTCTTCAGTTATAAGCCTGAGATGCCAAGTTGCAATTCAATTTAAAATGCTTTTAAGTAGAAGGAAATTGGGTTCCAAACACATTGGAAAGCTCCTGGAAAGATCCCCAGTTGATATAGTTTTCTGATGCAAAGAAGTAAGTTTGCAGCTTGGAGTGAAAAGGGTTTGCTCGAGTTGTTTTGGTTATGGGCTAAATTTGTGGGAAATTTCGCATGAACATCCAAAATGGGAAATTTCAATAGTTAATGGCAAGTTAGACATTTTTGTAAGGGCACAATACATTTTATTGAAGTGATTGATGATGACAACGCAGTAAACTACACATTGTAAATGCATTGAAACCCGTTGCAGAATAGCAGACAACAGCTCAGAAGGACTTGGGCTAAGAACTCAAAGAAACAAGGGACCTGCAAGGCTCAGACTCTTTGCATCATCAGCCGATCAATTAAGACAATTAAGGAGCATTTCACCTTAACATGCTGAGTTTTCATCTGATAATTCTATTAAGATCTACAATACTTGTTTCTTATCATGTAAAAGGCAATACTTTGAACCAATCACCATGCAAAAGGCAATACTTTGAACAGTACAAAACTAGTTAGAAATATAAAAGTGTCGACTTTATTTCACATTCTAAATTCTCTCATATTCTTTCTATCATCTTAAGTTTTTATTTATATAGGTTTTTATCAGAGACATGTAAAATTTTATCTATCGAATTATCAAAATGAAAATTTTAAATCTTTTAATTAATATTTATAATTAACTTTAACGTTTTTTTAACTCATTTATGCCACAGGAAACACCCAGATTCTATCCTGCATCATCTTCTGTTTTTAGTATATTTTGTACAAAACGTCATAGAAAAATTCTTAAAATTTTTAAATATTAGATTATTAAAAATGATAAAGCTTGAATATTGGCTAAACTTCTTGGACAAGAAACACAAGTTGAACCCTGAAGTGCTTGGTTACAATTAGAGATGATGTTAGGGATCAAAATTTTGAAGCTGGATTTGGTGATTAGCGTCAAACAATGGTAAAAAGGGCTTTAAGCAAGAATTTTTAATTTATTTTTTCATTTTTAATATCCTATTCATATTTTAATAACTTTAATTTTATGAATTACAAATTATTTACAAGTATATGAATGTAATTGATGTCAATAAAAGAAAAAGTAAACACATGATAATTATAAACTCTAAGCATTCTATGATTGATAAAAACATGATTAATTGAAATAGCATAATTACATACGACTTCGAAAGAAAAGATGGGAAAAACTTTTAATCCATGTAACGATATCAGATTGCTCGAAGCATTTACATCATTAGTCATAATATTATAAGCCTCGACTATTTCATCATTGTTGTTATTGTCGTCATAGTCGATACATTTTATAATTATTTAATATATTTATTGATTTTAAATTTTCTAATATTTCGAAGAAGGTAGAATTATCATCGTCATCGTTAATTTTCTGATGATTGAGCTGGAATCACATCTAAAACCGATCTATTGTCGATGTCGAGATCCTTCATAACGGATAAGATATCCTTTTGCTTGATCTTTCCCATGTATTTTAGTTTATACAAAATGAAATCAGCAGCCCTGAAGAAAGAAAGAAAAGAAAATGCAAACAAAACAATTAACAACATTAACAATGTATTAATGAAGTGATTTTACCCATGAACTTCGTCTTTCTCAAGATCATCGGCAGCCTCAATTTCGTTTCTGTCGATAACGATGCTTGCAATGACCCACTTCACAAGTTTCTTTGCTTCAATATCTGTATAAACATCTGCCATGTAGAGAAACAGCTGGCCTAAACAGGATGTTCCAGTGAATATCCATATCATGCCGAACGTTCGACCAGATTCGCTTGAGAAGCTCACGTCTCCGAACCCTACGGTCGTCATGGTGCTACAAACACAATAGAACGCATCATTGAATTCCATTGCTTCAACGGTATGCAGAACATAGATCCCGATGACGAAATGCAGTCCCATAACGATCAATGACATTATACATTTGGTGTAGTCTATATTCAGTGTTTCGATCTCGTTAAGGGCATCGATCGGTCCGATTTTCCGTGCCACATGTAGGGCGTTAAGCAACACCGTTTGTTTCTTGAAGACCAAGTATTTAGCAGTTATTTTCAGTACTACTCAGAACAGCAACATCCCTGCGGCGATGAAAACACTGCACACCAGTTGCGAAACGGTACTGCCGGGTAAAGGTAGCCATAACCAACGGTGGTCATTGTCACCACACACATGTAAAGAGAATCAACGAAATTATTTGTTTTATGGCCTCTCATGTGGTTCATCAATACCGAAAAGCTTAGAGCTCCAAGAACCGTATAGATACCATAGTACATCCCGAGCTTCTTAAGGTCCAGGAGAACCATCCGAATCACACTCCGAAAGGCACAATTCACAGCCATTGAAGTTGCTTTTCTACTCCGATGGTTGTTTCCATGGGATCATTTTCATCATTTGTTAAGTTTGGAGAGCCTGCAGCAGCCATTGGCAACTTGGTCTGCTTTGCAGCATTGGAACCCATTGACAACCTGATAGAAGCAGTTACAACATAAAATTTCACAGTTATAACATCTTTATAGACCTAGAAAAGAACGATATAGATACGGTAAATTTACCGATTTCGAGGAGATTACAACAATACTATAAGAATCTGGTATTAAGCTAAGTTTCTCCAGCAATAAGCTTGAGATGCCAAGTTTGCGGTTCAATTTAAAATGCCTTATAAGTACAAGGAAATTTGGTCACAAACACATTGGAAAGTTCCTGGGAAATTTCGCAGGAACCTCCAAAATGGGAAATGTCAATAGTAAATGGGAAGTAAGAGGTTTTTTTTTCCTGTTTTAAGAAAACTATTGTAATTATTCAATCCATTTTGGTAACATAAACAAAGATTGTGAGCATTGTCTCGGTTATTCATTAATCTTGGTAGCTCCCCACATCATGAATTGTCTGTATTTTGTTGGTGTTATTCAAATAAATCAACTTCATCTTCATCAAATATTTGACCTTTGCTTAAATTAATCTACATTTCTCTATCTGTTTTCATCACGAGAAGGACAGGTAAAAATGTTAAACTTATGATGAAACAGATAGAGAAATGTAGATTAATTCGTTGCCTTAATCTAAATAAACATAATTCGTTGAAAAATAATCCAAATGGCTCTCTTCTTTATTGCCAACTTCCACTTCCTAGTGCTTCAGAATCTTATCTCTTTCTATATAATCATATTTATCATGCAATAAACTCAAAACCCAGATTCTAACTTCAACTTCTCTCAAATGAAAGTGTCGAGCTTTCTCTTCTTCCTCTTTCTATCCTTTTCTCTTTTGCTTTCTGCCACCTCGCATGGCGGCAATGATGATGAAGCAGGTGATGGCAACGAACGACATAACCTACGTTCCAAATCCTTGGTTCTGGTCAAGATCTGGTGCTTGATTCTCGTGTTTGTAGGGACATTCATCGGCGGGATGTCACCCTATTTTCTTAAGTGGAACCAGGGTTTTCTGGTGATGGGGACCCAGTTTGCCGGTGGGGTTTTCTTGGGGACTGCTATGATGCATTTCTTGAGTGACGCTAATGAAACGTTTAAGGATTTGACCCCTAAGGCATACCCTTTTGCTTTTATGTTGGCTTGCGTTGGATATCTATTGACCATGGTGGCTGATTGTGTGGTTTCTTATGTGTATGGGAAAGGAAATAGCTCATCTCATAAAAGTGATTCGGAGCTTCAAGGTAACAAGCTGTTGGGACTTAGGATCTGTACCTTAGTTAGGACTTAGGACCAATTATTCTACTTTTGTCACCTTCCTTTCTTGTCTAAATTGCAGGGAACGGCACCGAAACCACCTGTGAAGGGTCCTCGTCGCTCACATCGGTGAGTTCTTTTGGGGATAGTGTTTTGCTGATAGTTGCCTTGTGCTTCCATTCGGTGTTCGAAGGCATTTCCATTGGAATCGCCGAGACCGAGTTCGATGCATGGAAAGCCTTATGGACAATCTCATTGCATAAGATATTTGCAGCCATTGCAATGGGGATAGCACTGCTCCGAATGATCCCAGACCGTCCGTTGTTGTCATGCATAGCCTATGCTTTCGCTTTCGCTGTTTCAAGTCCAGTCGGTGTAGCCATCGGGATCATAATCGATGCCACAACGGAGGGTTCTATGGCTGATTGGATCTTCGCCATATCGATGGGGTTAGCCACTGGAGTCTTCATCTATGTGTCTATAAACCATTTGCTATCGAAAGGTTACACGCCCCATAAGACGGTTCCAGTGGACAAACCTCATTACAAGTTATTGGCTGTGTTGTTAGGTGTTGGAGTGATTGCTGTTGTAATGATTTGGGACACTTGAACTAATGATTTTCACCTTTGGTATATTAGTAGTTTTGGTCTGTCAGTGTATAATAGAATCATATAGATCAAATTAGGTTGTCTGTTGTCTATGTCATAGTTTATCGCACCTGTGTGAAATACAGTACCAGCCTGACCGATCGGCTCGGTTCATGGAGCTAAACTTTTGACACCGATGATAGAAAATTATTGTAAAATAGCTTAATCATACATGCATATACATGCATATATATATATATATATATATATATATAATTAAGTATGCGCGTCTGTGATAGATATAGATTTGGAATCTAATATAAAATGATGAGCCAAACCTGGGAAAGTATGTTCAAGTTGTGGAAGCTGCCAAAACTAGTTTCAATGATGCCTATGGAATCCGACATATACATATTGACTTACTTTCATGCATGAATCATCAACTGATGCTGCAATGCTTCTTGTCTTCCAGAACAAGATTTAAATCCGAAACATGGTTTCGAACCCTAAATTTATCAGATACAGTGCTATGAAAAGTTCAATGGTAAACATCCCAGAAAGATAATTGTCCCCAAAAGGGAAAATTTTGGATTAGTAGCTCGAAAATCAGTTTCTGCTTCCAAAAGCCTTACAATGACGAGCGTATATTATTGGTAAAATTTCATTTAATTCTCTGAAAAGAAGGTACTAAAAATACAAATGTTAAATTTGGTGTTGCTCTAGAGGTCCACATGAAAAGCTTTCTCGAGGCAAACGGATACTACAATTGGCCCAGCCAAGTCTCCAGCTGCACAGCCTATTGACCAATTGAATACAGTTATAATTGTAAGCAAATCCGGAATATCAATAACAGGTAGGTAAATATTAACTATCGGTATATGCAACTAACTTACCAATCCATTGACCAATTGAAGGACGGAGAAGTGTAGCACCAATCCCAGCTCCAATGGAAGCAAATATCAATGATGCTCCACACCGGATGGTAATACCAGAAACCTTCTTTCCAAGAACTTTAGCTTCCTTTTTCGTGTTGACCCCATCACTCTCTTCGGAGTCCTTTATGCGAGCAAAAAATCGGTAGATTTCAATACCAGTTTGAACAAGCCCCGCAGCCACTACTCCAAGAAGGTGACCTGAATAAACATTGGGGGGGGGGAAGGCAAGATATGTTACAAAGCTAAAGCAAGAAATTACTTTAAAATATAACGGAGCACATATTGGTAATGGTCTTGACCTCGGAAAGTTGTTCTGCTAACTTTGAAGAAGTACAATGTGGTAGGCATTCCCTTTTGGGACTTCCGGACAGCTGACTTCGGAACATCTGCTTATGTTGGAAAACTCATGAGCTGCTTATAATAATAATCAGCAAGAAGATTTCAAATAGTGATAGTAATACATATTATACTAATAAACAACCACTGATCCACTACCATGACTTTGTGGAATGATGGACAGAATGTACCTTTAAGGAGTTTCCATGCCATGCGTTGTGAAACATAGATAACAGCAAGCCTTTCGAGAACCCTTCTTGTCGTTACAACAGTAGTCTGAGAAGTCATAAAACATAATAAACTTGAACTATTCCTTAGAAGTTAGAACAGTAAAGTATTTTCTCAAATGAAGTTAATGTGCTTCAAATACATAGATTCAACCATATACAGCAAAAAGTCTTATGTCCGGTGCATAGATTTGATGAACACGACTTTAAGAAGAATAGAACATATTTTTCATGTGTTAATATGAATTTAATTAGCATCTAAATCGTATAAATCCATATATTTATATGAACTTTAATTGCAATTATTGATGAATTATACAAATAACTGACTTTTGCTTATCTCTAGTTTAAAAACATAGAAGACATCATAAGATACAAACAATAAAGACAGAGGCTGACGAAGAGTATCGAGGAACAGGCTCAGTGGAGGACTTCAGGATATCATGAAAAGAAGGTCAAAAGAAAGACCAAAGGAAAACAACTCACCTCACGAACTATTTGCTTGACCGACTTTTTAAAGGGAACAACTAAATCCACATGTTTTTCTTCTGGGGTGTCATTCAAGAAGTCATCATCATCGTCCTCATCTACATTTGTAGCAGGCTCCAATAGAGGCAAATAGAACATCAGAAATGACCTCAAAGTTGTCATAGCAAATGGCCTCAACTCAAAAGCCGAATAAAGAGGCTTCAATTCAACCTTATACTCCTTCACAGAGTATTTGAGTGCATCATCCTTAAAGTTCTTAACATTCCTAACGATATCTTCGGATACCCTTTTTATACTTGAAATGTAATCTTCAGGCAATGCCACACCAGCATCACAATGAGAAACCTTGGGATAACTGTAGCACAATCACTAGGCTAACAGTGTCAAATCCATGCATGAAAATTGAGCAAATTTACATCAACAATTTACTAAACAATCAGAACATAGACTTCAGAACTGAAGTAGCAGCCTATTACAGTAATAAAAACCACAATTTGAAACTATCAAACCAGTTAAATCAATCCTAAACCAATCAAATTCAGCACTGCTCATTTGTCGATGCGCAAAGTAAACACGGGCATTTTGTTACTTAAAGATAGTGGCATGCACTTTCAGGAACATGTATGTACATATACACATACACATGAAAATGTATATGAAAACTAAAAAGAAACACCTAATTGCCTAAATTCCATGAACACCAATTTTCTAATCCAATCAAAAATCACTGTTCACAGAGCAATACACCTACACATGATGACATGGGCACTGATCAATTACCTAAATAAGATCAAAAGCCAAAATGTTCTGCTAATGGCCACAATCCACCGAGCAAATAACAAAAACGAAGTAAAGAAATACATGGCTATAAACATACCAAAAAAGGAACCTGGAGGCAAAAGGGGTTCCAGCAGCGACAGTAGCGGCGGCTGATACTGCGGCAGCGGAGGCAGAGAAGGACCCAGAAGAGTGGAAACTTTGTTGAGAGCAAAAAACTTTGGTTTTTCCTGTATAGATCTAGCAATATTGCTATCCCCGCCATCGTTGTTGTTGTTGTTCAGCTATAAACGAGACCCACCTTGGTTTATAACACTACCATAACGATGAACACCTCCAGCTTCTCTACCGTTTGATTTTCTTGGGGAAAGTCGAGGCTTTTAAGGGTTTTTTAGATTTTGATTGGAAAACAATAAAATAAATTGAAGTGTTAAAGATCCGATTTTTGTAAAAAAAGAGAGGAAAATTTTAAAGTTTTTCACTTTTTTTGTTTTTTAGTACTATATAATTTCCATGCTTGTTGAGTTTCGTGTATTGGTTTTATCATAAAATGCTATTTTTAGAGTAAGAAATAAATTAAAAATTAAATTGATTATAGGAGAAAGTTTGAGATTCAATTTATGAATTAAACAGATGATTTTTAGAATTAATTATTAATTGACTTATAAAATAAAACATTAAATTTTAAATAAGATGTAAAGTTTAAGTAAACATTATAAATGAAAAAAATTAATTATTCTTATAACAAGTCTCTGTAATATTTAATTTTAATTAATTAATTAATTAATTCAGCATCCAAACGGAAACCCATTTGAAAATCCCGCTACCAAATAAAAACCCAAAAATCCACGGGGTTCGCTTATCGTCCCCAAAGTTTAAACCTTTTAGAAATGAAGGGTTTTGATTTTGCCCAGAATTTGCTGAAAAGGAAATGAGTTCGGGGGATTTACATAAGGTTTGGGAAATCAAGGCATTGAAGAGGAAACCTGGAGTAAAAGAAGCCAAAAAATTCTTAGAGAAAATAGCCAATCAAGTTAAACCCATTATGCGTAAGCATAAATGGAGAGTCAAGGTCCTCTCAGAATTCTGGTATCTGTTTAAATTTTATTCATTTTTGTATCCTTTATTTTGTTAAAGGTGAAGTTTTTTCCCCAATTATGTTGAATTTAATTTTGGTTTTTTTCCTTCTTATTTATAGTCCGAATAATCCAGCTTTGCTAGGGCTGAACGTGGGACGTGGCATCCACGTCAAGTTAAGGCTAAGGAGACCGAACCGGGATTGGGAATTTTATCCCTTTGATCATGTTCTTGATACAATGCTTCACGAACTTTGCCATAATGCTCACGGTCCTCATAATGCTACTTTTTACAAGCTTTGGGATGAACTTAGAAAGGTACATTTCATTCTTTTAGATAGTTCCTAATCATCATAGTCAGTGCCAAATGCTATTTTATGGATGGTTCATGTCTATATTACAAATTTTCCTTTTAATGTCTAAGTTCATGCTGTCGTGTTGGAACCATAGAAGGTTATCAAATAAGAGGTTCTGGTCTATGAAGATTATATTATTAAAAATCATTAATAGATGTTTGTGGTGGTGGTCAAGATATTGCCTATAAATCGATTCATGATTAGATATTATCTATGTAGAAAATTAAAAGCTGCTTGAGGATATGTTCATTGAATGATTTGATTGTTTTTTACAATGTATTTGAGCTCTATGTTAGTTTAAATCCATCTGGGATTTATGTCTTCTTCGGAGAATTGTACTGATCTCTGCTCTCCACTGTTCTTTTTATGTTTTTCCTAATTGTTGTTGATTCACTTGTGTTTCTGGAAACACAACAATTAAGGAGTTAGTTAAGGTTTTAAGAAAGACACTCTTTGTTGAGGATCTTGATATATGAAAATAATTTGGAGAATCTATATTTAACAAGGGCAGCATGCTAGTTATTTATGTTTTTGTATATTTTTCCTTGTTATATTGATGCAGGAATGTGAGGAGCTCATGTCAAAAGGAATAACTGGCTCAGGGGAGGGGTTTGATCTTCTTGGGAAGCGCTTGGGTGGATTTTCCCGACAACCTCCACTCTCATCTCTTCGCCAGACTGCATTAACTGCAGCAGAGAACAGAGCTTGCTTGGGGTCTCTATTGCCTTCTGGACCTAAATGTCTTGGTGGTGACAGCACCATTAAGGATGCACTTAGTCCTATACATGCAGCTTCAATGGCTGCAGAAAGGAGATTGCAAGATGATCTTTGGTGTGGTTCTCATTGTTCTGAGATTGCTGGAAATGAAGAAAGTTGTGCTGATACTTTGCAGGATCATTTGGATTCGGATCAAGGAGCAGAGAAATCGAGTGTAAAAGATGGTTCCAGTGGACACGCTTTTGGCAGAACCTCTCTTAAACGAGGCCGCAGGCAAGATAAACCAGAATCCAACTTTGTGGATTTAACTACACCAGTATCTGGATCTGCTTTTAACCAAGGTGCTAAATCTCCTAAACAAATATGCAAATCCAATAACCTTATACCTTCAAGTGCATCATCTTCAGTCACTGTGGTGAATGATGAATCTCCAGATAATCGAGGAGTAACTGCTATGTGGGAGTGCAAATCATGCTTTTTACTGAATCCTGTAAGTGTTTCATGCATCAATATCACTTTGTTCATATATGTTGCTTATAAAGGGATATCATATTGTTTAACATATATGCTCAGCATGTTTTCTATTGAATTTTATGTGCTGAAACATTTTGGGCATGTTTATTTATAATGTCCATGCTCGCATGCTTAGTCTCGCTTGCCAAGCTGAATGATCTTTATTCTGTGTGGCATTCGACCCATTTATATTATACTTTTCTCTTTGATTGTTCTTAATAATCATGAATTGAAGCTTGTTGAGCAATCTTAACACCCACAGGCCATGATATACTTAATGTTGGCATGGACCATGTTTTTCAGTGAGATTCATTGTGTTACTTCTTTGCATCTTGAACTGGAGAAATATATGGGTTTTTTCTTCCTTTTTTTTGTTTTATTTTCCGTCATAGAAACTTGCTTTGCACATCCTTGATGTTAAAACGTTGCAGTCATTTACCCCAATATGCGAGCTTTGCTTTATTGAAAGGCCCAGAGACATCGGCACCAAGTACAAATTTTGGTCCTGCAAGTTTTGCACCTTGGAAAACCCTGTGAAACTGGATAAATGCTCGGCATGTGATCAATGGAGATATTCACATGGCCCTCCTATATCGATTCCAGCTCCCAATCGCGGTACATGAGAAGTAACATCCCATAAATGCCAGGTTGCTTCATCTTGTCCAAGTAAATTGAATTTTCCTTGTTAAATATAAGGTATTTTTTACTGTTTTTGTGTTGGTTATTACAATGCTTTGTGTTTTATTGGTGAGTATAGAGTTATTTTTTTTGGGGCGGGGGGGGGGGTGGAGATCTGGGTAAATCATATTTTGAGGCCAAGTGATGCTGTTTTTTTTTTTTTCTCCTGGTAATCTTTACAGTGTAAATACCAGCTCCAAGATATATTTGTTCTTTTCATGTACAGTTTATCTTTTCCTTCTTCCTTTTTTTTCATCTTTTATAATTATTTAATTGAACAGCTTGATTAAACATGAAAAGTTATAGGGAAATTTAACAGAGTATTTATAAGGGGTTTCCGGCCATCTCAGTAACGCATTACTTCATGTCCTCCCATCTGCAACAGCATCAGCATCGGTGGAGTTTCGAGATGACACTATCTTCGATGTAAGAGTACATAGAGGTAATGATCAATTTCCGATACTCATATCAACATGGAGAAGACTTCTTGAAAGCAGACATTACAGTTTGTGTGAAATCTAAGATTATGGTTCTTTATGACATGCAAAGAAATATAAAAGAACATAAATGATTGGTTTTATTGAGTTCGTTAAGAAAAAGAAATATGTGTTTGTGGGGGAGATAAGGTTTGACCTTAAATAATGAAAATAAGAGAAGAATTTATAGTCTCAGCCATTGTTTGCCATCTATAAATTTCATGTCCATAAAAGGTTTAGCTTCTTCATAACTAAGTTTCCTTGACCATGGCACCCTGCCCCTTGTATCAGATCCTGTTCCCCAGCTCTGGTATTCCCCAAATACTACAGTCCTGAAAAAAAAATCAAAGTTCATATGTCATATTTTCGCTTTGAATTTCGATAAACAATTTATCGAGCTTTATTCCTTTTCTGTTTTCCGGAAATGTGGAACACACATTTGCCTCAGAGGTACATTCCAGTCGCTCCATCCAGCAGGAACGATGACATTGTCAAGATAACAGTTAGAATATACCGTCCTTGAATAGTTTCCCCAAGCTCTTCCCAGTAAAACTTTGCCAGTTCCAGTGATTATGCAGTTTACAAATGAGAAGCCTGTAGTATCATTTGGTGAATCTCTGTGGTGTGCTGCAATGGCTCCAATCTTTTTAGCAGTGGATTCAATCAAACATTCCTGTTTTTTTACAAACATTAAAGCCCCAGGGATTAGAGCCATGTTTTTTTAGCAGTGGATTCAGATCTTGTATTGAAATTTGTGATGAAATTAGTTTACCTGGTAGAGTGATCTTGATTTGCCGAAGATGAAATCGACACTGCCTTGAATGTGGCTATGGTAGAAATAATGTGATCCGGTTTCATCTAGAAGTGTATCTTGTCCCCCTACAACCTTCACCTTGTAGAACATTGCCTTGTCTCCATAAATCCTGAGTGCCACTGCTTGCTTTCCAGGTTCACCAGGAGCTCCAATAGCTGAATTCTGCAGAAAAAATAAATAAATTTCTGTTCATTGTAAACTATGTTGTTCCGACTTTTCGTTTTTCCTCGAAACATATGTATTTAACAGTTGCGTATCTAGATGCAGCTATGGAAATACGACTCATGTTAGATGCATATCCGTATCCGAAACTCATACAATGCTGAAGGTGATTCATTTATTACCTCGAATGTAATCTCGGTGGCACAGAAATAATCAGATCCTATGGTGACAGAAGCTGATCTGTAAGTTCCCAGGCTACCACCATGGCTGGACCTATCAGAAGCTTTGTTGTGCCATGAAATAATGGTGTTTGCCATTTGACTTTCGTTCCCGACAAATGATATATATGGCTTCAAACGTGGAACGATTACTTTCTCCCTGCAGAAAATCAAAACGAACATCACCGGTAAAGAGACTAAAACATTGTTCATCAATGTTCAAATTCCCCATGAATGTAAATTATGAAAAATGTACATACACAAACCTGTAAATCCCGGGAAGAATATAAATCTTAACTCTTTGTTGATTATTCTCGGGAACCATGTTTATAGCTCCTTGAATTGTGGTTGAATCTCTGCCGCCATTTTTATCGACTACAATGACTCGACTTTGATTATGATCAGCTATTGTTGTATTCAATCTGATTTTATGTTCATCAATTTTCATGTCATCCCAACTGATGAAATCCTTCATATATCTCTCATTAATCTTCGATGAACCGATTCGAAAACAACAAGTGAAAGCAGCCATAACCATGACCAGACGGCACCAGCAGTCCATGACTTGGATTCAATCAACGCCGTGGCATTGAACAAAACCAAAGGCCAAGAGAATCCCATGTTCTGTATATCAGTTTGTAGCATATATATTGTGAGGGGATTATTAAAGCTTGTAAGAATCAATTTAGAAATGAAGTTTTGGATTAAAATGAAGAAGTAAAGAATTGAAAGAAGTTCATGAGAGTTTTGTGCATGGCTAGTAAGAAAAGAGGGTTTAAAATGTGTTACTTTGGGGCTCCTTTTGGAACATGACGAAGGTGGTTTCTTGATGTTTTAATTTAAAGAAATTGTGGAGGCAAAGCAAAATTTATGCACCTTTTACCTCAAATTTGTCTGGAAAACAGCTTCTTTTCATGAGTGTCTTCTCTTGGGCTTTCAATTTTCAGGATCATTATCATGACTATAATAAAAATAATAATTTTATAAATGATATTGAATTTTTATTTTTTTTATTTTTTAATTCTGTGTTCGTACTGCGCCTTTATTCAATTTATATTTTGTATTATAATATATTTGAAGAATATATATATATATATATATATATATATCTGTTATGAATAAATTCATGATATATTTTAATAATTTATTTGAATGATAAAATTTTAATAAAAATATAGTGCTGATGATGTGTTTATATTATTTCTTTGTATTAAAAAATTATGAACTTATATAAATTTTATGAGTTGATAATTTGTTTCGTATTGATATTAAATTTTTGTATATTGTACATATTCATGTTGTTGTTATATAATATTATGTATAAATAATTATTCTATTGCATTTACACTTTGTCTTAATTCATCCATATTGTATATAATTTGTTTTAATGTTTTAGTTTTATTTATTTAGAAATTAATAAAATAATATATGTTAGTATAATTAATACAAATATGATCGAGAAAAAATAATATAAATATCTAAATCATGAATCTGTCTTATATTAAGCTTTGAAGTGACATTACAGAGGATTCAAATTCAAACTATTTGGCTATACACTTGACTTCAAACTGATCAGCTTTATTTAATAATATTCTCCATATATTATATTGCATGGAGATAAAATATTTAGGATAAACTACACGTTTAATATTTAAATTATTACTTTTGTTCTATTTTGGCACCTTCACTTTATTTTTTTGAAAATTATACCTAATATTTAATTTCAATTTCAATTTAATATCCCATCATTAAAAAATTAACAAAATTGCTAACATGGTATTCTTTTTCATTTTTTTAATGAATATATAATATTATCTTATAATGATACTTCAACATCATCGTTAAGTTTTTAATGATTGAGTATCAAAATGAAACATAAATTAAACGTTATGTATGATTTAAAAAAATAAAGTTTAAGTACCAAAACAGAATAAAAGTAATAGTTTAGATACTAAAAGTATAACTTACCCTAATATTTTATTGTAACCAAAGGTAACAAAAGTCACGTGTGCGATCCTTGCACGTGCTATTGAGTGTTGAATTGCTGCTGTCTTGACCTCCCAGCGATCATGACTCAACTACCAAGCATATCACCCTTCATATTAAATTTAATATATTTTTAGTACCTCTACTTAGTTTTAAAGTTCAAACTGGTACTTATATTATTTTTTTGTTAAATTATATTTTTACAATGTAAATTGTACGTTGTAAAGATTAGAAAAAGATCATATATATCTTCAAAATATTTTTCTCTCTCTCATAATTTTAAGATATATTAAATAATATAGAATCAAATACTTAATGACCAAAATAACTTATTTTATAAAAATTCATAGTTAAACAAACTTCCTTATAAAATAATTTTCAAATAAAAGAATTATAAAAATATTTAATTTATTTTTTTAATTAAAATTTAACAAACTTTTACTAAATTTTTAATTTTAATAAAAGTAAAGGGAGAATATGATTAATGTTTCATGAGACGACAATTGAAAGCGGCTGCCCATTAAAGTACAAAATAAAGGTTTGGGTTCCTATTTTTCTGTTGTAATTTAATTAATTTTCCATGGAGACAAGACAATATCCTCGCATTCAAATTTGGCGACGCTTTAACACCAATGACTTGCTCTCTGGAAACTGAAATATATGTATATATATATATATATTTGTAGTTTTGTATGACAATGGATTAAAAACTTGACTAAAATGCATATCCAATTAACAATCTTTTCAAACTAATGATTTCATCATAAAAAGTTGAAATTCAATTTTGTAATTTTGACAGAAATGTATATATTTAAGCAACAATCTTTCAAACATGTGAGCCAAGCAAATTTGTTTCTATTTTCCAAGTATTCTATAAATTCAGAAATCCATGACCATCTTCCAATAAACTTCATATAATTTTCTTGTCTAGCTATGGAGTTTCAGCTTCCTTCGTTCCAAGTCCTCTTTACCATCCTCCTTGTTTCCTTCTTCATATTCAGGAGTTTTAAGAAATCAAAACCCAAAAATTCTATCCCAGGGCCAAGGAGATTGCCGGTGATCGGGAATTTGCACCAAATCGCCAGCCCTTCACCCCACAAGACTCTAAGAGACTTGGCCCTCAAGCATGGACCACTGATGCACCTCCAGCTCGGTGAAGTCTCCACGGTCATCGTTTCTTCACCGGAAGTGGCTAGAGAAGTAATGAAAACTCACGACATCAACTTCTCCTACAGGCCGGCCCTTGACGTCCCCAGAATCTACACTTACGATTTCACCAACATCGCCTTCGCACCCTACGGTAACTACTGGAGACATCTTCGTAAAGTCTGCACCACCGAGCTGTTGAGCGCCTCCAGGGTCCAGTCGTTCCGATCGATAAGGGAAGAAGAGGTTCTGAATCTCGTGAAGACGATAAACGAAGGCGGCGGGAAGCCGGTGAATCTCAGCTCCAAGATTTTCTCGTTGACGTACGGGGTAGTTGCCAGAGCTGCGTTCGGGGGGAAATGCAAGGATCAAGAGACTTACATCGACAGCATAACGGAACTCACTAAGTTGCTTTCCGGGTTCGTCGTGTCTGATTTTTTCCCTTCGATTAAGGTGCTTAAGTACTTAAATGGCGTGGAGAAGAAAGTCACGAAGATGCATAAGGAGAACGATAGGATCATCGAGAACATCATTAGGGAACATAGGGAGAGAAGGGCTAGAGTAAAAAATGGCGATGAACAAGGTGAACAAGAAGATCTTGTTGATGTGCTTTTGAGGATTCAAGAGGAGAATGAATTCCCCTTGGGAGACAAGAACATCAAATCAGTAATCGTGGTTAGTGAAACATCTTCATTAGGATATCGAATTTCTTGATTTTAGTTATTACAATGTTTTTTTATATGTTTTTACAGGATGTTTTTGGTGCGGGGAGTGAAACATCTTCAACAACCGTGGAATGGGCGCTGTCCGAAATGATTAAACACCCAAGGGTGATGAAAGAGGCTCAGGATGAAGTAAGGCGAGTTTTCGGACCAAAAGGAAACGTAGACGAATCAGGTCTCCATGAACTCAAATACTTGAAAGCCATCATTAGAGAAACCTTCCGAATCCGACCATCCGTGCCATTGTTGCTCCCCAGAGAATGCAACGAAGCTTGTGAAATCAACGGCTACGAAATCCCAGCCAAAACCAGAGTCCTCATCAACGCATGGGCACTCGGAAGAGACCCTAAATACTGGAACGACCCCGAAACATTTTACCCCGAAAGATTCCTCAACGGTTCAATTGATTATATGGGAACAAATTACGAGTTCGTCCCATTCGGTGCAGGAAGAAGAATGTGTCCAGGGATCACATTCGCTACACCGAATCTCGAGCTGCCATTGGCACAATTGCTGTTCCATTTTGACTGGAAGCTGCCGAATGGGATGAGAGGAGAAGATCTGGACATGACTGAGGTTTTTTGGCATAACCGTGAAGAGGAAAAATGACCTTGTTCTCGTTCCGACTCCGTATCATGGTTCTAAAATTGTCCATTAGAATCATAAAAGAAGAGAAGTCTGGGTAGCTTGGAACATATGTGGTAGCCGCCGCCATGTAAGACTGTAAGATGTATGATCCTATTATACCCCCACAAAACATATCAAGGTGTCCTTCTCATGTATTTGGTAAAACAAAATAAGATTAATGCCCTCCTTTTACTTACTTCTTTCTTTATACTTTTTTACTTTTTAATTTATTTATGATACAAGTTCGACTGATTAAGACAAATGACAACTAACCTTCGAATCTATTAATGGTCTTATTCTATGTAGATTAAAGTAATCATTTGTCTCAAGTCATTCACTTTAAATTTACTTTTAATCAGATTTATATGTGAGTTTTGATTGGATATGTGTTGAAGATGATTTTATAGCAAAATAAGAACGAAATAAAAAATTAGATAACAAGAATGATTACATTATTTGACATGAAAATTAAAAAAAAAAATTACTACTAAACAAAACATTGAAGGGTTAGACAACTTTCACTGTTTTACTATTCTCTTCATTGTAGTATATAGTTTATCTTCTTTAAAAGTATATTTGTTCTAAAAAGAAATTATTTTAGAAGATATTGGTGAAGGACATATATAGCTAGGAGATGCCATTGTTTGAAACAAGAAAATAAAAATAAAGCTTAATTAGTCAAAATTGTTGAATATTTTAAGGCAGCCAAAGTTGATGTACTTTGAAAAATGTTTTTAATATTGTTGCATAAGAAGATGGCAAACAAAGCGATGATTTCATCTAAATTTATTAAATAAGTAAAGTTCATTGGATTATACATAATTCCATTACATTACCTTGCAAAGTCAGCTAGGGAATGGAAGAGACATCCGAGGCTAAAAGTTTGGTTCCTAAAGTTCGAGGGATAAACGTTAAAAGTGTTGCATGTTTTCTAAAATTTGTCCAAAACTACCTAAGTTTGTGATTTATTATGCCGAGTTGCCGACTGCTCTGTGTGCCGATATTTCATTTTGGTCAGCTTGCTCTTTTATTTTTGAGCTTTTTTATTCAGTTGGTGTCTTGCTGAGTATCTCAATTTTTTATTAGAGTTGACCAGAGTTGAGAAATGCTGCAGTTCAAGAAACTATTCACTCATTATGATACAAATATGCCACACCAATCCATCATATATTTTATTAGAATCCATTCCTTACATAGTTGATTCCAATAGACTTGTTGGAGGCCCTGTTTTTGACTGCATCCAATAGGAATGGGTGCTTAGCAGAGACCCTCACACGAGGTGGATAACCAAATTCCAAACTGAAAATGGATCTTTAGGATGATTTCCTTTGACAAAACTTGATTCTGCCTAGCATAATGGACTGGTTCCCTACACATTCGAAATTGATGTCTTAAAATGAAACAGCTGCTGGGTGTTTGAAATATTCAAAATTTAAACACACTCCGAAAGGCTAGAGGAATAACATATCAAGTTGCCAACTTGGCTTACTATTGAGTCTTGAACTATCTTGAAAAGAACACTATGCATAGTTACAAATTCTAGTTTTCATTGCTTGGCACTTTCTTTTTTATGACTCATCGTTATCCATTTGGTATAACTTTTATATTAAAATTCTTGTCATTTTCAGATTCTATTCATCCTTGTAATTCAGTTGGATTGGAGTTTTGCTAATAGCCAAATTCAAGCCATGTTTTCTACCACAAATTTTGTCAGTAGATAGAAAGAAGAGATTAGTTAACTTCAGTTGAGTTTACGGAGAGAGTTGTAATTGTAAAATCAAAGGGGATTGGGGGCAAGTTTTGTAATTATTTGCTCACTCTCGCACAGGCTGTAAGCAAAAATCTTCCCTTTCACCAGAACACAAGCCTTCTCTCGAAAAACCCCTCTTAGAGTGATGAAGAATCCATCCGATTCTTTTCATCCCAATAAAACCTGAAAGTCCCTTCTTTATTCTTTCCACTTCCATATTTTATTTAAACAAGTTCTCATCTTTTCTTGTTTAGAATATTGGCTTATTCTTATTAATGGAAATGGCGCTTGAATTTTCAATTCGAAGCCAACCCACTTTTATCACTTCAACAAAGTCCTCGTCTTTCATGCTTTTCAATCGAAATTTGAAGTTCCCATCAAAGTTTTTATCCAAAATTGAGCACTACCCAACTCCTCTAATCTCTAGCTTTCCCAATCCCCGAGTTTTCAAATCCTTTGGATTGCCAAAAGCTGGCACTTTTGGAAACCAAACACGTTTGGGGTTATTAAGTGAAGAAAATGATGTGGGCAATGATCAGAATTTGAATTTGGTGAAAAGAGTACTTTTGGTGGCAATGGTTTGTGGTATATTGATCTTTGTATGCAAAAGAGTACTTGCTGTAGAAGAAGCGGGTAATGCTGGCTATGAGGTGATTGGGAAGTCCAAATTGTTGTTGAGGAATGCTTGGCCTAAGGCATCTATGCTTCTTAAAGTGTTCAAGGAGCAAGGTGTGGTTTTGACAGTGCTTTTGGGTCTGTCTGCTTTCTTCTCAATGGCTGAGACTGCTATAACTACATTATGGCCTTGGAAGGTATTTGTTTTTTGACCCTAGGATTTAATATCTTTATACTAAGTGAAATCATATGCGGTTGTTCATTGATATCAAAAGGAAAAATGTAGACGCTTCAATCAATTTTGATGCAATATTTAAATATCTTCCATTTCCTGATTGTTGTATGATTCTCTTAGGTGACTTGATGTTTTGGCTCAAGTTTATATAAGACCAATTGCCATGTCAACTTTCCATATTGTATTATTACTTTATGGTGAATTGAACTTTAGTGGCATTCATCTCTTAAAGATTGAATGCAGAAAAACATTAGTGTGTAAAGAAAGAATTAGGAGATAGAAAGAGTGAAATCAGGGAGAGAAACCAGAAGCCAAGAAACTTTTAAATAATCCATGGAGAACAACATAAAGCCATCATATCATCTTTTTTGTATATCGGTGATTTCTATTTTGTCATGTCATCAAGCATTTAAGAAATCTATCATCCATTGGTCATTTGATGTTTAATCTGTCTCAGATACGGGAGCTGGCCGAAAAAGAGTCTGAAGATGGTGTATTCAAAATGCTTCGAAGTGATGTAACTCGCTTTCTCACAACCATTCTTATAGGCACCACGTATTCCCATTTCCTTACCATCACCTCGATATGTACCGCTTCAATTTCTTTTCAGCTTAAGCTTAAAGCATTTCTTACAGTAGATTGTATTTATGTACTCAGTGTGGTCAATATTGGAGCAACCGCTATTGTCACAGATGCTGCAACAGAAATATTTGGAGAAGCTGGTGTTAGTGCAGCAACTGGAGTAATGACTGTATGTTTCAATATGCTGTTCTTTGATTTATTTTTGCGCGCGTGTGTAGCATGCCTACACATCTTTGTTTATTTCTTGTGTCATGAATTTATGCTAAGTCAGCAAAAATAATTAATCTGTTAAGTTGTGGTTGGCCAGCACAGAGTGTAGGCAAGTGAAATGGAAAATATACTTCATTCCATACATATGATAATTGGTTAACTTATCTTGAATGGTGGTAGGTTGCCATATTGCTTCTCACTGAGATCACTCCAAAGAGTATAGCTGTTCACAGTCCGACCGAGGTTGCCAGATTTGTGGTATTTTTTTTTTCTGTTCTTGTCCCACATTTGGGGATCTTTAAATTTCACCCGAGGTCATATGTGTGCTAAAGTAGCTTGAGTTTTTCCCCCCTTATGTTTCTCTCTATATGCTTCTTGGCTCTCATGGTACTTTGCAGCTATCATCATCGGTTCGAAATTGGCACACTGATTGTGGTTGTAATATTTCTAGGTTAGGCCAGTGGCATGGCTTTCTGTAATACTATATCCAGTGGGAAGAGTTGTCACATATCTATCCATGGGGATGCTCAAAATTCTTGGTCTAAAAGGAAAAAGGTGAAGAAAATAATTACTTGCATTCAATCCTTTTGCAGCTTATAACTTATGCATTTTCATTGTTGTTTATTTCCAATGGTTTGTCAACATATGTCGTCATTGTTTTATATGCTTTCGGAATGCCTTATGCATATTCTCTTCAATTTTAGTGAACCTTATGTTACGGAGGATGAATTGAAGCTGATGCTACGAGGGGCAGAGTTGAGTGGTGCAATAGAGGAGGAGGAACAGGTATCCATATACATTACATTTTTGATATGTTGATATGTATAATAACTCTGATTGGGCATTTGAACAACACATATATTGTATTTGTGATAGATATTTTTCTATTACCTTCTCTTCTATACCCTAGAGGTCAAGACCAGTGGGTCTTGATATGCATCCAAATGAATTTTCTGTTCTTTTTTACCCTTTTATATATTTGTTCGGATGAATATTTCAGGGGGATGTACTTTATTAACTCATTGTTTTTGGTTCTGGTACTCTTATATATTGGGATCCCCTTGCAGGATATGATCGAAAATGTGTTGGAGATAAAAGATACCCATGTTAGAGAGGTGATGACACCTCTAATTGATGTAGTTGCAATTGATGCAAGCTCAACTCTTGTTGAGTTCCACAATCTGTGGTTAAATCAGGAATATTCAAGGTAGATAATCTTAATGAATTTTCTCCTAGATTCTTTGTAATTCAAAACAACTTGCTAAGAGATTTTTTGACATTTTTGCAGGGTGCCTGTTTTCGAGCAACGTGTTGACAATATAGTGGGTATTGCATATGCTATGGATCTACTAGATTATGTTCCCAAGGTCAGACAATTTCTAATCGGTCTTGTTTTTTCCTCTCTTTTATCATCGTAACTCTTGGCTTATTAAACTATGCCATAATATCATAGTTTGCAGCATTATAATCTATTTGATTTTGAAGGGTGAACTGCTAGAAAGTATTACTGTGGGAAACATGGCTCACAAACCCGCATACTTTGTGCCCGGTAATTTTAAGTTTATTTTCTTCTCTTGATTTCATGCTTCAAGTTAATATGCAACCGTATTTTACATTTCTACCTCGGTATCCATTAGGCCAAATGGTAGCTGTCACTTTCACATAGATTATAGTCTGAGAAGCTATTACAAATAGAATAGTCTTTTTATTTTTTGCAGATTCAATGTCAGTCTGGAATCTTCTTAGAGAGTTTCGCATTAGGAAGGTTCACATGGCTGTTGTTCTTAACGAATATGGTGGAACAGTTGGAGTACGTGCAATTATTAAAATTGTGAATTGATCTTGAATTTGGATTTTTATTCTTGAATGAGTCTTACCTGTTGAAGAAACTCAAAGTAAGATGGTTTTTTGTTGATCTGCAGTTTTCAAGGATTAATGTTTTATATGAAAGTGCTTCATAGCATAGCTAATGGTCTGTTCTATGCCCCACTTAAACTAGCATCACTGATATTAAGGAATAACTTAAACTGATTTGATTTGATATACCATATACGGCATTAATATTAGATTGAACACAGAAAAACTTACCTGCAGTTGAATCGAACGAGTCATCAATGTCCAAAATCTTTTAGCTCTTCTTAGAAATAGTTAAGATTGGAGTCTGCAATATGCTCAAATCTTGGCTAATCCTCAATAGTAACAAATAATCTTTAATACCTCCGACACTCTTGTTCGAATTTGCACTATATATCCATTTATCTCTCTTTTTTTGCTATTTTGGAGCAGATAGTCACCTTGGAAGATGTGGTTGAGGAGATTGTCGGTGAAATTTTTGATGAAAACGATTCAAAAGTAAGATTTACTACATCGTTTCTCATCTTTTATGATTCATATGCTATCAATACATACTTGTACTATAATAGCTTGTGGACTTTATTTTAAGTTCCTATGATTTTAAAATTTTCCTTCTATGATAGGAGGAGATCCAGAAGAAAACCGGCTATATTGTAATGCGAGCTGAGGGAATCTTTGATGTAGATGCTAATACATCTATTTATCAACTTTCTGAAGATCTACAGATCAAGTTGCCAGAAGTAAGCTACTTGTATTACATATTATTATTTATATAAATTCTCATGCATAAGCTTTCATTCTACCTGCAAGATTTTTCTCGTATAGTTGATATGTTCATATTAAGCAATCCGATGTTAAAATGGATGGATGTCTTCTGTTAATACCAAATATCTATACTAGAGGAAAAGTAACTGCCAATTGGAACTCTTGTATATACAAGTGTCTGTTTGTCAAATATACAGGAACTCTTGTATATATATGTACGTATATTTATATGGATCTTTTTTGTGTTCTATAGGAACATCAATATGAGACAGTGTCAGGTTTTGTCTGTGAGGCCTTTGGATATATACCAAGGACAGGTGAGAGTATTAAGGTAGTCCTTGAAAAGGGAGACGAAGAAAATGATGAGAATGCTGAAGCTGGATACGATCACCAAGATCTGAAGCATCAAGTTTATAAACTTGAGGTATGGTTTGAACACTTCTTCCGTATTCAACATTGCATTTGAATAATGTAACAATCACTCGAGTTCTTTCTAATGTCATTGTTTCTAAATGTTCCTCAAAAGGAGTTCAGCTGCAAACATGCAAAATGAATGCAGTTACAACATATGGCATCCTAATTATGAATAATTAGAAACTCTGAAACATGTACACAACAACTGAAATGTCAAAAACATTTGTCGTTGGAATTATGATGAACTTTATTCACTATGATATTTTCCTTACAAAGCAGTGTCATTCTACCTTAGATCCTTAACGTTGAAAGCACAGAGATCCATCCACCTTTTGTTTCAGCTGAATCACTTGAATTTAGATCTTCTTTTGAGATGTTATGGGACTGTTTGTTGTATTCAATCACGATGAAAGTAAACAAGAATGCACAATCAACATAAATCAAAAAACTACTACGAAGAAAAAAGTGATGAGCAGTTACTGTGGAATCTCTTCATGTAGGATGTAGCCTTTTCGAATTAGTGCTGCTGCATGTTACATACAATTGGTGGCTTTCTTTGCAATTGCAAGTGTTCTTTGCATTTCTTTCTCTCTTCCCGAATACGAATTTGAGTTTTTTTTCTTTTTTTAACATAAGTACATATTTTCCATCAAGTTTTCTATTGATTCGAAATGTTTATAAGGCCAAAACTTGAGTGACTGTATTACTAACATTTTAATGTGGGGAATTTGTTCTTGGTGCAGATATTAGCAGGAAATGCCAGGAAAGTTAGTGCTGTTCGATTTGAAAGGATAAACGACGAGGAAGCTCTATTAGATACTACGGCAGTAACTCTAACGATTCCAAAAATCATGAAGAGGAAACGGAGAAATGATGAAGACTCAAATAATGGTAACCATAGTGAAGATGCATTTCGAAAGAGGCAAGAGGATGACCTCTCAGATCAGTATATAACTGCTGATCGTAACGAGAATAAGCAAGAGTCTTGATGGATTATAGTTATATATATAGATGATATATATGTTACACTTTATTTCTCTCATTTTCCCCCGAAGACTGCCCTTTTCCCCTTACCATTTCTTACAGCCCCATAACAAGATGTAAAGACTCGAACTGAAGAACGAAACAAAAATATGAGAACATTGTACGGTTGTTCACAGATGAAGTGAAGTGTCAACATCTGAATCATTAAAGGTATATGTTTGCAAGACCTCACCCCTCTGTTGTAAGTTTGACAATATCGGAGTTTCTGTAACCTGACGTTGACTATGCATGCTAGTTTCACCGTATACAAATCCTTGGAGAGGCGGTCTAGGCTGAAGGATCAAATCGGAATGGAAAAACGATTGAGATGCTGCATTTAGTGTGCCTGGATTGATCCTCTCCGCTTCAGGTAGCAACCGTAAAACCTCTCTTTCCTGCCTCAATTCCTTCGCCCGCTGCAACTGTCTGAATCTCTCTTGCAAGAGAGCAATGGAAGAATGAACGGCCGGATCACTCTGGCTTCCCATCACCGGAACCTATCAATTGCCCTGAAGAGAATGCTCGTAAGGTGATCTGAGGTTGCTATATTCTTATATATAGGACATTTATAAGCTTTGAAATCGTTAATCCTTTCGCCGCTTTAGTTGATTCTCAATGATGTAGAAGGGGAAAAAAAGGTAGAATCAGCTGCTGAGATGCAAAGTCCAAGCAAACAGAGTTATGTGGCAATGTGTAAGGTAAAAATAGATGATATGAAGAAAAGGGTCTTAAAAAAGGTCCAAACTGAGATGGAATGTAGCATTTGGAAGTGTTTGATTTTGCAGAATAAATGGATGGTTGATTCTCTGTCGGCTTGTTGCCAAGAGCTATTGGCCTTTCAAGAAAGATGGTGCCCCTTTTTAGTGGGGGATACTTCGTGTATTATTTTCAACTTTCAACATTCTATCTTCTTCACTTTTGTTGATCACACTAAGTTTAAAGTTCGAATTTCAATATCTGTAATCCGTTTCTTCGTATCCGGACTGCCTTTTTTTTCTCTCTTGATATTGTGTGTTTTGTCATGAAGTTGTTGGATAGAAATGGCATGGAAGGAGAAAGGTATAGTTGGTGGATTCTTTCAATGGGGCTGTTGTTGTTGGAACGCTGATGTCTTTGAACTTGATTGTTGGAAGAACTTCAAAAGCCGCCTACCCTCCCCCTAGATATCTCGGCGAATTTTGACTCTCTCTCTCTCTGTTAGCCTTTGGCAAAATCATGGAAAAGTTGAATTTGGGTGCTGCAACTTTTTTCTTTTGGAGCTTTTCTTAGCCATCAAATATCATAATGATAGTGTTGGCAAACTGTATATATCAAATTTAGAATCTATCTCGATCAAAAATTCATTTTACTATATCTTCATTGTCATTAAAGTATATGGTATTATATTATTTATATTCATACTTAAGTACGTGTATAAAATAATAAAAGTATTTTTTTGAATTATTTATTTGAGATTAAAAAAAACTGGAAGATGGTGATTGGAAGCATAGGTGGCAACATCATTATGCCAATTGAGGGCTGGCTGTTGATAGTCTCAAAGTGGAGAATTACAAGCAAAAGCTACCAATTAATTTCCCAAAATCTGGAGGAATAATAACTCATTGCTTTTGGATTTAGTCTCTGTCTTCATGTTCCCATTGAAAATCAGGTAAACATATTGATTAATTACAATAATATTACTATTATTCATAGAAATAATATTATATTCGATGTGAACGTGACTAATTTTAATCATTCCAACATTAATAGATGTTCTTAAAGGTTTTTCTCCCCCTAAAGTTATTGTTAGCAAAAACCTAAACATAAATTCTAAAATGGGAGTTGTGCTTAAACCGTAAATGAAGAGAGTATGTGATGAACTGTTTGTGAACTATTCATATTAGTGTTTATTTATATTCGTTTATTAAGTTAAATAAGTGAGTATAAACAAATTTTTTATGTTCATTTAATAAACAAATGAACATGAACAAAAGTATATTCGATTCTTTTATGTTCACGAACAAATTTGTTTGAAAGCTCGTTTATTGGTTTGTTTATAAGCTTGTTATCGACCCATTTATAAACTCGTTTATCTGGTTCTCCTTTTCTTTCTTTTACATTTTAAATATTGATGAAAGTATAACTTAGATTGAATGTAAAGTGAACTTTGGAGTTCAAACTATAAAGCCTAAAGAGCTTAAAGACTAATGTTGTAATTTCATCATTTTTCTGAACATATTAATGAATATGTCGATGAACATATAAATACGAACATGTTCGCAAACACAAAATGAATTGAACAAGAACACGCTAAAAAATAAACAAATGAATTTGACATTAAAAATTTAACTGAACATTAACACCTTCAAAAATAAACAAACACAAACACGACCTTATTTGTTCAAGCTCGATTTATTTACGTCCCTATTGTGCTTTAGAAATATAGGCCTAAAAGGTGGTTGGGCCAAAGTTCTGCAAATTTCAAGCGTTGAGTATAATATAGGCCCCAAATCTTTAGGCTCCTAAAAAGTGTCAGATGAGGAATCCAACCCTGTAAACCCACATGAGGCTGTAGCATTGGCAATATTGAAACCAAAAAAAAAAAAAATCCAACTTGTGCATAAAGGATAACCACTTCAATGATACATGTTATAAGGATGTAAGAAAAGAAAGGAAATATTACACATTTAGTATGAAAAGGAAATGATTGCATACCATTCACCCATTCAATCACGGTGGAATCCACAAGGATAGACAATATTTATATCATGTGCAGAAGGGTTTGACTGTAAATGGAGAGTATCATTTCACAAAATGTGAAGCAAAAAAGAAAATCCTTGCAAGTATCAACCGGATAACTGCAACTTGTTTCTGGAATTCTCTTCTTGATTAGTCAGTATGTCAGCTGCATCAAAATCGACATATCAATAGAAAGCATAAACTTATAGTCAAAACAATACAATGCATGGTATGACAGGTACCTCAAAAGAATTTTTTTTTTTTATAGAAATAGGAGGTCTCATTAAAACCCCTTTCATAGTTATCTCTAACCAAGAGGAAAGGGACAATTAGCGGAAGGAGAAAAAGAATACCTCATTTTATTGAAATTTATAAATTACAAAAGAAAGCCTTTACATAACATTTGGAAGGTTGTCCACAAAAGATTCATGAAAAGCCTATATAACAGCTAGGGGTGTAAACGAGCCGAGTCGAGCTCGACTCGACTCGAAAACTCGCGAGCTTAAAATTTTCAAGCTCGACTCGAACTCGAAATCCTGAACTGAAGCTCGTGAGCAGCTCGAAAAGGCTCAAAATGAAAAAAAAAATCTTAAACTTAATTCGATTGAAACCTTAAACTCAAACTCGAACATGAACCTTAAATAGATGAAATCTTACTGTATTTTTTTTTTAAAAATCAATACATAAATATTAATATTATTATTAATTTATTTTTTTAAATAAAATCTTAATATATTATATTTTCGAGCTGCTCATGAGCTTTTCGAGTCGAATATCGAGTAGCTCGTTTCAGCTCGTTAAGAACTCGAGTCGAGTCCATTCGATCCGAGTATTTATCGAGCCTTGATCGAGTCGATCTCGAATAGCTCATGATCTGTCTCGTCTCATTTACAGCCCTAATAACAGCTAACAATTAGCCGATCCCTTCCTTAGCTAACTTATCAGCCTCCTAATTGCAACCCCTAGGAATTAACTTTACTATCAATGCCCTAGACAATACGTAAGACTCAATCTCCTCAATTAAATTAGTAAAGAACGCAGGGGCAAGACCAACTCAAAAGAAAATAAAGAACATTTTAGTTTTACCGCATAAAGATTATCAGAATGGTATACAGATTATTGATACTTTGTTACTGCATGAGGAATATCCAGATATGCATTGCATATGCGTGGTAGACACGAGAACTTCAAGAAAAAATAGAAGTGGAAGTGGCATGGAATAGTTCTATTAAGGGCATACTACCCATGCAACATGCACAGGGAAAGTTTCGGTTTATAAAAAGTACCTGACCTTAAATTTGAAGGTTGTTTTGAGTTCATTCTCCTTGCTTGCCACCAGTAGTTAGTATAATCTCTCATATGCATCCCTTGGACTAGAAGAAACTGTACCAATTTTTTTTTTTTTGCAATGTAAACTCTACAAAAATATGTTTAAGCGAACAACCAGAAAACTAACCGACTTAAATTTAGCACGGTACCAGAGCCAGTTACCATAGACTTAGAAAGTTATACTCGGAATTATTCCAAATCCTTACTTTCAGATTTCCTTTATCACACCAAGGTTTATGGTAAATTGTAGCCTCCGTATCATTTCAGAACCTCGGAGTAGTACCAGAGAGCTATGATGCTAGACAGTTTGAAGTGGATGGACAGGACACCAATCTGCTACACAGATTCTAGTATTAGGAAGGAAGCTTTTGAAGCTTATCACTACTTCTCGTATTTCTTTGCAAACTCCTTAAGTAGTAGCTTTTGACGGAATGCCAAATATTTATCTAAACTAGTTCCAGCCCACTGCTGGCAAAAGCATTCATCAGTTGGGACCAATGAACCAAGTGGAAATGGCCCCTTTGGTGCTTTCTTTAGGGAAATTAAGAATCGGTGGCGGGGTCGAATTCTCTGATACAGCGACAAGCTCAAGTACATAGGGTATTTTGTCAAAGAATGCACCTCATTATTCAGTTCATTGACCAAGTACAGGTACTTAGGCTTTAGATTCTCCTCCAGTGACAAAGATAAGACCTAGAAACAAAACAAAATTGTAAGAGAGGAAACAATTTTCTGTGTTTTCATGCAGTTACAAGGAAACTAACCTGTGTAAGACTAGTCAAGACTTTCAAGATATCGGAATTACGCATTCCGATGCTCCTTAGGAAGTTTATCCTGGGTAGTAATCCGTCATCAATGCTGTAGTGGAGAAGCTGGGGATGTTTCTTTACCATCTTTACAACACTATCTCTGGGTGCTCCTAACTCCTTGGAGAGAAACATATAGCGCGTATTCCATGATATGTCAATCCGTTGAACTAGAATCTGAGGGCTTAACTGCACAACTTTACCTAAATCATGTTCATTAATACCAACCTCCTCGATCAAGTATCTCACTGTTGGTTTTAACGAATTTTCAACGCTGTATGAAAACAGAGAAGGTGCACGAGCAATTATCTGCCCTATCCTAGAATTTGGAATCCCTAGACCCATTAGAAAAGCCACATGGGACTTCAAGTTGTTCTCCACTGTGTATTCTAGAATTTGTGGTTGTCTCAAAAGTATTCTCCTAACGTCTCTTTGTTTCACACCAACGCTCAACAAGTAGTCCAATCTTTCCCGAGCTGAACACACATTGATTTGAAAAGAAAGCATGTGTCTCTCGTACATTTGGACAAAGTGTGAATCTTTAAGCCCAAAAGTACTTAGATAATCAAGAAGTGGAAACCATTTCTCATCCAAGTCAATTTCATCAGACAGCCGTTGATATCTATTTTCTTTAGATTTCTTTGACACCATCTGCAATAGAGAAAGCATATTAAGCTCCTTTACACCATTTGGTATGGAAAATAGAAAAAATTGACAGCTTATCTTACCTTTCTTCCTTCATCTACACCTAAGGAACCAACTTCCTTCATTTTGTTCTAAGTATGATAAAAATCTTCTACATTATTCCTCCTTAGATCATCATTACCATGTTCCGAAGTGATAAGACCTTTTCTTGATTTTAACACTTTTGATCCCTTATGTTGTTCTTCCGGTCCTCGGTTTCCTGCCCAAACAAATGAATCCTCTTTGTTAAAACTCCTCAAAAAACCAATGTCAAATCTTGTGACGAATTCACATGCATACCTTCTTTACCACTTCCCTTGTGTGATTTAATTTTCTTCCCATTAATGAAGTATTCATGAGGTTGAGCAAAATCATCCTGAAAAAAAAAACCATTTCAGACCAGAAGCGGTTCCATTGTCAACTAAAACATAAGCTAATTGTTCAGTTATTTCAAATCAAAGCACACAAAATAAGCCAAATAATATCTTAACATCAATGCAAATGCAGTAAAAACATAGTGATGGGTTATTTTCTACAATCCTACGAACTTCATATCATGCAGTAATCACATGTTTTTATTACAAAGATTGCATCTTGAATAACAAATTACATATATATATAATTTTAGTTTAGACTAAATATATAACTTTGCAGAAATTAAACATATAAAAGTAAAAAAAAAATACTGAAAACCAAAGCAAAGTGCTTGCCAGTGAAACAATTATCACCTCAAGTCTAAAGAACATCAAACCATTTATCAAACAAAATATCAGATTACAAATATTCATCTTAAATGGCCAATTACACATATTTCTAACTACAGTTGCAACACACACACACACTCTTTTTGTACCAATTAAATATAATAACATATTAAAAATGCAGCTTTTTAATTACGGGAAAGTGATTGTAAAGTGAACTTACATTCATCAACCAATCATCTCCAGCCATGTCATCATCATTGCCACCAAATTCTTCATCATCATCTTCCTCCTCATCAGTGTCATAAGGTGTAATCCTTTGACCAAATCTTGACTTCTTATTAGACTTCAGAATTTTGGGATTAGAGTGAGTTGATAAAAACACCAAGAACTTCCCTTTCTTGAAGCTAACTCCATTCTTCAAAGCAAGGCTCAGAGTCCAAGAAGAATAAGGAGTGACGATAATAGAACCGAAACGATTGAAATTATGAAGAGTTAAAGCTGTCATTTCGGGGATGAGAGAGAGAGAGAGAGAGAGAGAAGATGCTTAACAAAAGAATATACCGAAAAACCCTAGAAAATAGATGAGAGTATGTACTGCAAAGCTTTATCTTGTAGCTATGGCTGTCAATGAAAGGTGGGGTTTTACAGGGGTTTCTTTGCCACAGAAGATTTTTATTTTCATTTGTTTTGATTTTTCCTTGTTTCTTTTTAATCTGGGTTAACGGTTGGTTAGTCAAAACGGTGTCGCACTATGTCGTGTGAAGAAACTGAATAACCGCTGGAAAATAATTAGCGTTTAATTTATTATTATTATTATTATTATTATTATTATTATTATTATTAATCTAGTACGATTAGGGGTGTACAAAACTACCGGACTCGGTTAACTCGACCCGTCGACCTAAAAAAATCGGGTAATTTTTTAAAAAAATTACCTGGCCGAGTCGGGCACGGGTCACAAAATTGAAGTTTTTTGAGATCCCGGTTACCCGAGTACCCTGTTATATGTATATATATATATATATAATGGATTATTTACATAGAAAATAATCTCAGTGACCAAAAATGCCTTATAATATACGATTTTAACCAACTTTTTTTTGGATTTGCCAAAATGACCAACTAAATCGCAATGCGATCGATAATTCGCAACGCGATCTCCGGTATCGCAAACCAGTTTCCAGATTCGCAACGCGATTCTAACTATCGCATTGCGATTTCCCAAATTCGCGCTGCGATTTTCCTAAATCGCAATGCGAATACGTAAATCGCAATGCGAATTTGACTATCGCAATGCGATTTACATAGCGCCATTCGTATTAACGCGTATTTTTTTCAAATTCCAAACACGAAATATGTTAATATAGAGAAAATAACCTCAGTGACCAAAAATGCCTTATAATATACGATTTTAACCAACTTTTTTTGAATTTGCCAAAATGACCAACTAAATCGCAATGCGATCGATAATTCGCAACGCGATCTCCGGTATCGCAAATCAGTTTCCAAATTCGCATTGCGAACTTGGACTATCGCAATGCGAATATGTAAATCGTAATGCGATAGTCGACTATCGCAATGCGAACTTGGACTATCGCAATCGCATTGCGATAGTCCAAAATCGCAACGACTGGTGGTATTGCATTTGTTTCTTAAGAAATTTCTATAAAAAGATAGTATTAGCGCGGACGTGTCGACCACGACCCGAGACGAGACGGACGGTGGCGGCGGCGGCGCGCGAGAGTCCCCCTTGTTCTCTATCACTCAACAAGGAAGTGGGAAAGCCAAGCCTTAAATACCATTCCCAATAGTGTTTCCAATACTATGTGAGATTAAACATTACCAACACTTGTTTCCAATACAATGTGATTATTCAGGAAACAATTAACAATCATGCACCTTAAAATAACTGAATCAGCAACCAATTGCATTAGTATTATACGATTAAATATGTCATAATTAAAAGTCAATCTACAATCAAACGCGATTATTGCAATTTTAAGCAAAACATTCAAAAATAATATCACTATTTAAGGCTCAATCCCACATAGTATTGGGAACAAGTGTTGGTAATGCTCAATCCCACATAGTATCGGAAACACTATTGGGAATGGTATTTAAGGCTTGGCTTTCCCACTTCCTTGTTGAGTGATAGAGAACAAGGGAGACTCTCGCGCGTCGCCGTCTCGTCTCGGGTCGTGGTCGTGGTAATACGTGTCTTCGACACGTCCGCGCGAATACTATCTTTTTAGAGAAAATTCTTAAGAAACAAATGCAATATCGTCGTTGCGATTTTGGACTATCGCAACGAACTTGGAATAAATCGCAACGACGGTATTGCGAATATGTAAATCGCAATGCGATAGTCGACTATCGCAATGCGAACTTCGACTATCGCAATGCGAATATGTAAATCGCAATGCGATAGTCGAAGTTCGCATTGCGATAGTCCAAGTTCGCATTGCGATAGTCGAAGTTCGCGTTGCGAATCTGGAAACTGATTTGCGATACCCGAGATCGCGTTGCGAATTATCGATCGCATTGCGATTTAGTTGGACATTTTGGCAAATCCAAAAAAAGTTGATTAAAATCGTATATTATAAGACATTTTTGGTCAGTGAGGTTATTTTCTCTTATTTATATTATGGATTATTAGATTTTGTATTTCGAACTTTTAAATTTTATGTTTGGATGTTGGAGTATGTAATTCGAAATTTCGAATATTTAAATTTGTGTATATATATTTTTAAATTAATAATTTGAAAATGAAAAAAAAAGTACCGAAATCTAGGTCGGGACATGGGCTGAGAAATCATCGACTCGGATGTTGTGGGTACCCAGATTTGCACACCCCTAGGTACGATATAATATTTGTTCAAATATAATTATTAACCATTTGACATTGAAAGTTCATACCTATGACATTAATGATGCTAGAACCTGAGACCTTAAAAATAATAACAATATTTTTACTTTCAAAATCATTTGGTTAGTGCATAATTAACCTTTGTTGATTTGGGAAATTAGAGATTTTCTTTTATATTATTATGAGTTACTTTTCATTTATAGTTAGCCATACATGTTTTCTTATAAAAATTCATATGATATATAGACATGTATGTTTAAATAATTTTAAAATATTTTTTCATAATATTTAAAAGATCATTTCCTTATATTAATATTCGAATATCTAGTACATATAAATGCTTCATATAAAAAATAAATGGTTCAATTGGGTGGATTAGGCTAAACGTAAACATATTAATTAAAAACTATGACAAAACAAGGAAGTATAGCACAGGGATTTTGTACAATCAAATACTCTAAGTTGGATTGAGGCCCTTCACGCCCAATGGAATCAAAATCTCCATACGCCCCACCGGTGGTATTTGCTATACTCCCTGCAATTACCCTGCAAACTATTACAGCCCTTCTCAAGTTCTTCAACTTGAAAGATACCATATTATCACTCACTTCTTCACTGCTAGTGCTCAATCTAACCCCATTTTTCCTAGTGAATTCCATGTCGAATCTGGAATGAATAATCCGGCACACTCGACAGCTCGGGTCTCTGCAAAGCTCAGACACCGGTCTCGGCTTCCTGCAGCAGGCCGTCGTAGTGCCGTAGAAAAGTAACAGCTCGTTCCCATCTATGGTGCTCCTTGGATGTCTCCTGCGTTGTTGGTTGGATTTTATTATGACTTTTTCTCTGTAATCCTCAAACCTTTTGAGAACTTCTATGGAGTTCTTCACTTTTAGAACCTTTTTCACCTTCCATGATGGCTTTGAAGGATCCATTGATGCTCTTTGAAAGATCAACTCGATGATGTTCCTTGATGGGTCACCAATGTTGAGTTCTAATGAAAACAAACAAACTAGTATGGTTAGATACTTAGATTGCATGTAAAAAGGTTCATAATCTCATGCAAAGGAAGAGAAAAAACTTACCATAAATCTGTGTTTTAGGATAGATTGGCCTAAAGAGTGCTTCTCGAAAAGGGTTTCTGAGTTGATGAACAAGCTGTTTCTCCAAGCTCTGGTTTCTTGAGTTCCCACAAGCTTTTTCTGGTTTTCCAACGACATCGGTGAGCCTGCATACACAGTTGACATTCTCCTTCAAAGAAATCCAAGCTGCCAGCATTTCTCCTCTTCTCCCTGTATTTGACATGGATTCTTTACAAGTTCCTTAACTTAAAAAGCTAATGCAGAGAGAGAGACTTTTGAATATTTATTGTGTATTATAATTTAGTAATGAAGAGACTAAACTAGTGTCCTGGAGCTTTACCATTGTCAACGACAAAGCTATAGCTTTGGGTTTTGAGATGGTAAAATAAAGTTAGGTTTGTAGTGGAGATATGGTTCACAACGTGGCTGTTTTTCGAAACAATCCCTGCAAAAACAAAGACAAATTTGGGGAATTTAAGGGGTTTTGGATTCTATCAACAGCGCATTAATGGCGTCTACCCTACTAAGATCTTAAACAAAACACCTTAATGTTCATTAGCTTCTGTATTTACTGCAAGCTACTGTAAAAACTAGAAAAATCTGTTCAATTCAAAATATAACCATCATGAGCATAGCGACCATGTTAATGACGGAATGCCGTAAAATCACTCAATTAAAGGGTTAAATTAAATAATTAATTTTCACAAGGATCAGAAGTGCAAATTTTTTCCACTCAAGTAAAGGGTTACATTAAATGTCCATTGTTATGGAGGGACTAAAAATGAATATCGCCCGTTAACTAAGGAATCAAGGACATTGTCTGCCCTTGATTTTGTTTCTGCTCATGACACATTATAAGGTTTGTTTCACAATCCTTCATAACTTTGCCATATATGTCGAACATGGATAAGGAAATACAGAGTTCAAAAATAATAATAAACTCAATGGAGTTTACCGTAAAAGCACTCTCAAACAAGAATTTTATCCATGCAATTACGAAGGGATAAAAAGTCATAAATGTTTATTTCCAGATGGTTCACAATTCACATGCACCAAAAGCAAAGTAGCTGTTAAATACATTCCCAACAAAAAGAAATTATAGCCTGTTTTGTCCTTTTACACCCCCAGTACCTGCAACAAGTTGCATGCAATTGAATCTCACCCTTCAATCAAAAATCATAATGTCCAAGATCAATCTTCTAAGCCTTGGATTCTTCAAATGTTTGGTCCATCATTTGCTTATGTCTCAGACAAAGCCTCTAGCAATCATTTTTTTCTCTCTGGACAATATATGAAAATCGTTCATCAAAAAGCTTTGTTTCGAGCCACAGCATCTGAGAGGCAATGGTCAAGAAGAGTACAGGTATATTTTATAAATCACAAATAATCCAAGTTAAGACAAGCTGGAAAAAGCATGTTTCTTACGAATTCCATTTCGGGGACTTGTTTTACAACACTTTCCTGTAAGAAAAATAATACATATACCAGTTCCACTTTAGTACAAACACCCAAGTTAATACAAAGACTGATTTTGCAGCAGAAGGTAGTTTGTGTGTCAATTACAAGACCGGAACAGACAGTAAACTATATATATAGAAGCAATACATATATTTTCAGAATTAAGATTTCTAAATTTTCTTTTACCAGCCAAAAAGATGGAGAAATGAAATAATGTCCATGTTTTATTTCTTGTACCTTAACAGATTTATGGACCTGTCAGTATTCTTCCCATGGTCTGTGCATATGCATAAGAATGATTTAGTGGTGTAAGTTCAACACGGAGACCTTCGCTTGGTGTTTCTCTGGATCCGTACTGGTTCATGCCACCATTAGGAACACCATAGTACGCTGTCATTGGAGATGCTTGAATCAGCCTGAAACTAGAACCACCAGTCTGAGGGTGGTTTTGGACGAGTTCAGGATGCAATTGTTGATTCTCGTTTGAACTATTTTCATGAGCAGGACTAATCCCAACACCAAGATCAAGGCTAATGACATCATTTTCTTCTGATCTAATCCTAGCTGACGCAGTTACGGCTCCGACTGTATCATGATTATTGGTCCTTGCAGTAGGTACATCATGATTGTGTTTTCCCTCGTATGTGGTTATAACAGCTTTTGGATCATGAGATGCCCTCTCAATGTGTTTTCTAACAGGGCAACCAGCAGCGGTGCACTTATAATAACTCCTACATAGAAAGAAAGTAGAAAATAAAAATATGATGAAATAATGTAATAAACCATAATAAAAGAATATGGTCAAGACTCGAGAGTATTCATAAACTGAATAACAGATCCTGAAGTAAGTGCCTTGAAGTATGCAAAAATTGGATCTAAATAAGCAAAACAACAAAATACAAATAGAGCTAGGCACAACTGAATAGAAGATCCGACAGACTTTCGTTGTCTTCTCTAATCTAAGACTATGCTTCCAATGGGGTTTCATGCCAACCAATATAATGTTGTAAAAACTATATATTGCAACATATTCCTATCAAAAAAAAAAATATATTGCAACATATTACTATTATCATTTAATTAAATCTTCATGATGTGTACCTAGGATTAGGATTTCCTCTCACTACTTTTTGCCCATACTTGCGCCATCGATACCCATCATCCAGAATATCAACTTCACTCACAGTCTGTACAACAACACGTGGTTCCCGGATTGGCTTCACCACAGGAGTGATATCAATCCCACCATCCATCTTCCTGCTCATATTCAATAATATCACTTAGCCAGCTGACAAAACCAGAGTAAAAAGCTAAAGCCTCCAGTAGTGATACCAATACCTTCGCTTTGAGAAAGGATCATCATCATCAACATCATCCACATTACTATCATTAACTGCGACCAGAGATAGATCAGCTGTACTATTTGGCTCAATACTATGAGCCATCTGGCCATATATGCTGGATGACTTGTCTAAAACAGGGAAAGAGAAAAGATTATTTCGTAAGTAAGAAAGTAGTCATAACACAGAAGAACTGAATGTTTTGAATTTTCCTTACCATCTCTACCAGGCAAAGATGGCACCTTATCAGATCTTTCTTCTTGTACAGACATGGCATTTCCAGAAGAATACCGGCGACTAGGTTGAGGTTTAGGATGATCATGTGTACCTTTGTATATTATCTCTGAAATCTGTCCAGTATGAGATCGCTCAAATAGCTTTTTCACTTCACAATTAGGATGTGTACATTTGTAATAACTGCGAGGAAATTCACTTCCTTTAACATGTTTCTGTCCGTACTTTCTCCAGTTGTATCCATCATTAGATATAGTGGACGAGACAGTTACTCTATTATCAGACTGCCCTGACTGTGCCCCACTATTTGGGTTCCCAATCTGGTTTAGTTCGTCTGCATCTACTTCAACAGGAACACTAGCCACAGAAGTAGCTGTATGAACCGGTACCAAGAGACTCAACTCATTTGAGGAGCCAGGCATCTCGCTCTTAATTGGAGCTGATGGATTAAAAGGTACAGCCTGGTATTGACCTTGGATCTGCAAAGATTGTTCGCTTCTAAGATGGTTTAAATCTGCAAGTGCCTTGAATAAGCAAAAAACCTTTAGACAAGGACAATACATATACCATACAAGCAGTGGGACATAGTGAACATAAATGAGGATATCAATATCGAAAAACCTACAGAAGAGAAGAAATGACAAGATGCTAAATCAATATGTTCATTAAAACTAGTCAGGAAATTACCAGATTTGATCTAGGATGGGGTCTAAACTCAAAGCAGCTGGAATTTCTTTCGTCAATAGTATTGGAACACACAGCAGTTGTTGAATATGCACTAGAAGCGACAGAGCCATGTGCTGCCTGAGGTTTAAAGAGCGAACCAGTAGTTGGTGAAGACTCCGTCTGGAAGAGAAAGAAGCAAAACCACAAATTACTCAATCTAGTTGTAAAAAAGTACTTCACTTCCATTCACCGATAAACAATGACCGATGAACTTCTTGTTACTATTCTCTTCCCCATGAGCAAGATATAAAGTACAAACTCAGCTATCAATCTAAGACTGAACAAACTAATTCTAATACGATTATTTATTTCCTAAGAGAACTTAAAATAAAGAAGGGAAGGGGAGGGGAGGGGAGGGGGAGATGTAAACTACTATTCATGTACTTCCAGATAACCCTACACTAGATGTGGAAAACAGATTTGTAAAACCTCCTACCAATCCCCTAACTTGCAAATTCAATTCTGTGATCTTATATCATCCATAAAGTGAACCTAGAGCTTAACTAATGAAATAATATCCTCCATTAAGTCACAGACAATCATGTCTCTTCACGTTGATCCACCTACTTTCTATTTTCCATCCATTCATTCCACTGCCTCCAAGCACCACACTTTAAACAAAAACCTATCCTTTAATCTAAATCAAACAATTGCCTTAAATAAGCATCAATTCATCGATCCACTCCACCTCACAACCAGCATCTATTCCATATTCTTACATTAGAAAATGGGAAAATTCTCTAGTATGTCCTCACCTATAAAACCACTTGAAAACACCAAATATATATAATAAAAAGCCACAATTCCCACAAACAAAAGAGGAAAGTTGACAAAAATACAACAGTGCCGTTTAAAAGTAAATAAAAAATATAAATAAACAAATAACAAAAAAAAAGTCAATCAAGATTTTATACTTACAACAGAATAAACATAGAGAACATAAAGAAAATCCTTATCCCTCCTTCAACAACATACAAATCAATGGACACTAAGGTGCCATATCTCTTAATTTATCTAATAGCTGCAAAATCAAAGCATGGGATCCTCTCTCTTCATCTCTTTTTTTTCTTTAAGGTCCCCAACATCATGAACCACTTCAAATACAAAATCAAGCACTTAAAAGAATACATTAATGAAAATTTAGTAACCCGTTCTTTTCGCTTAAGCATCTCTTTAGCTGAAAATTAAATCCAATCACATCATTCAAAAACCTCCCCCCCCCCAAAAAAAATCCCACTAAAAGCTACCTAAAAAAAATAAAAATCAAAACTTTGAAGCTCACATTGTTAAATACCTCGATCAATTGAAGAGAATCTTGAGTTTTCTTATTTAAAAAAGAAAATAAATTAATTTTTACCAATGAATTTTTAGAAAATATCCAACGTTCCTATATTTTCTCAGGAAACAAACATAATCCAAGACCGATCCAACCTAAAAAAAAACGAATTCTAACCTTAACATCTGACAGAAGAACAGGGGACTCCAAGAAAGAAGAAGGACTAAGCCCCGGTGGGATCGTAATACAAGCCGACCTTGAGATCGGTAACTCAGCCGGAGCCACAAGCTTGTAGCGAGCTCCACCAGAAGTAGCTGAAGCCGGTAGCTCGTGCTGAGTAGTAGCAGCAACAGAAGCTGAAGAAGTTAATGTTTGTTCCTCCATCATCGAAGAACAAAAATAACAAGAAAAGAAAAGAAAATAAGGCAAGGCAAGGCAATGAAAGCATTGAAAGGAAAAGAGTCAAAATGGAGTTGATTTTAATGCCTGTAAGAAACGGGGAAAAAAACAAAAAAAGGAGGGAGGGGTACATAAGTAAATTAAGTTGTTTATTTTATTTTATTCACCTTTGTTTTTAATTAAAAGAACAAAAATCTAATATTCGAAATTGTTATTTAATCTTAATTATTGATTTATTGAAATAAAAAATATTAGCATCCCACATTCCCACTAAGAAATTCAATGATATCACTTCATTAAAAACAAAGTTAAAAACGTAAAACAAGTGACAATAAAAGAAAATTACTAAATTGGTTAAACAATATCAATCAACCCCAAATCTAACAAAAATCTAATCTTTCCCTTTAGGTTTCTTTTTTCTTCTTCAAGTTCTGTAATTTAATATTTAAAAAAACTTCTAAAATTGGATAAATGGCAACACCCTTTAATAATTCTATAAATACACTTTTTTATTTTAATAATTTAAATTAAAACCTTCTGAAATTATACTAAAAATGTCATAACAAAAATGAATATACATTAGAAACATTCAGGTTTTTATTTTACTAAATACCATATTTAAAAATAACTGTATAAACAAACATTAATGGTGTTTTGCCTGTAATAAAATGAACATTATAAAGGACATGCAATTATGATCATGGGACCAAAGTAAGAATTTGGTGACATTGTCTCAAAAAATGTTAAAAATGAACATTATTGCAAGTACCAAACAAACTTTATAAAGTTTATAAACATTCATGATTATAGCTAGAAAATTTTGCAGAATGAGACAAAGGAATTTGTGTAAAATAAGTATGCTTAAATATTTATTTAAAAAAAACCTTAAATAATTTAATTTTTTCTTAAATAAATCCCTAAATTGATGTCTATTTCATTTAAGTGTATATAAATTTTAATGAAAATTTTGAGCTAAAATCGAATCGAATTACAAAAATATCAGGAATGTTAGCATTAAACAATTTGTTTGATATAAACATCAAAATAGGACAGCAAAGCCTGCCTTGAACTGTTAGTAAAGCAAGTTTCATAAATGAGCAATCTTGAAACTACTGTCTGCAATTTAGAAAGTAATAAATAACGATACCAAGAAAAAGAATACATCATTAACAAACAACAACAATAAACCCTTCCTCTCATTTACTCAGATTTGGATTATAATAACCAATTCCAACTACAAACTGAGAAATAATCAGTTCAGATATTACAATATATGGTCAATCATTAAATGCTTATGTCTAATATAATGACTCCTAGCAAAAACTGTTGTATGAAAGAAGAAAGCAAAACTCAGATAACAGCCCCTCCCAAATTTAAATATTGGTGAAATAAGATATTTATCTTCAATTTTTAGATTTAAATACTCAATAGAGCTTTGTTCTTTTGATATAGTACAATTTAACCCCTCAATGTTTGATCCTAACTTCGTCCCTGGTTGAGCTAACCCCATTGTTTAGAACAGCTTGTATGGATAACCACGTGGAATAGAATGCATATGTATTGTCACTAGGGCAATAAAAAAATGTGATTTCCAAATCCCAAGCAATCTTGTTTGGCTAGTTTTATTCATAAAAACAAGTACAACAGTGAACATAGAATAGAACGCTGCTTGTATTTGTGCTTTCTAGATTGAAAACTAAACCATAATTTACATATATCTTTTGATTAGTTAACAAGATTATCAATAAATGAAATTCTATGTAGCCTCAACCTGTCAAGAAAAGTCTGTCACCAAATTAGGTTTATGCAATACAATCCGGTTATGTCAATGCGAGGCCATTTCCCTAGCAACCAGAAGCATTACACGAGCTACTGTGGATGGTAAGATGGATTGTATTGTGGCGGTAAACCATATGCACCATAAGTAGGTCGCATGTTGTGATTATATGAATGGTATGCAGCAGGGTTTGGATTCAAAGGGAAACCCATAGGGGCTCCCGCTAAACCATAATCAGGAGCTGATGGGCCTGCATAAGGATTAGCAGCAGGAGTAGGGCCTGGAAAGCCAAACGGGAAGGCTGGTGACCTTAAATATGCAGCAGAATGACTTGGTAATAAACCTGCTGGTTGAAGATGAGCTTGCTGGAATGGAGGAATCATAGAAGTTGTACCAGCAGCACTCAGTGAAGGTACTGCACAAGCAACAGATGCAGTTGTTTTAGGATGCTTGTTAACACTCTGTTGCTGCTTTACCGGTGCCTGCTTCTTCCTCTTCCTGTTTGTCTGCTGAGCCAACAGCTGATTGGCCTTCTGAACAGCCTGCTGCTGCTTAGGCTTGAAAGAAGAAGGTGTTGCAGGGACTTTTCTGTCTGCCTGCTGCTTCTCAAGCTGCTCAATACATTTCTGTAGGGGCACTTGCGAATACTCAGTTTCTAGATTGTGCTCTTCAATTATTTTAATGACAGATTTCAAGGCCAAAATTTCTCTATCAGCGGCAATATTCTGCACGATGAAATGAAAATAGTGAAAGAAAAAAAAAGAGTACTCAAGTCTCGTACTTGGAAAAGTTTGCATGAAATGAAAGTTTACCTGCGACTTAAGAGAGTTCTTTCCTTTCTCGCACACTTGCATAGCAAGCCTCTTTGTCTCCTTCAGATACTCATCCAAAAGAGGTCCAAGTGGGAATTTTTCTGCTAGCCCGAACTCAAGTATAAATTTTACAGCAAGCAATTGTTTGCGACCATCTAACAGTTTCTGAATCAAATCTGCAATGCATAAGGCAAGGCCATTTTCATCAGAACTACTGATATGTGGGAGAGAGAATTTTAAATCTCAAAGGGGGTAGAAAATTATATAAATCCTATGGAAACGTATGATCAATGACCATTACAATTTGAGCTGACTATTTAAATGAGAGAACAAATATGCTACACCAATTAGACAAGCACACATTGATTTGATGGAAATCCACCCATATTTTTCTTTTTCTTTTTCTTTTCTCAATCCATGAAACCATTCCGGTCTTTTGGGAAGTACCTGTGTTATGTTTCACTTTCTTGCTGATGCCTACCGAGTATGGTAAACCACTCTAACCATAAACTTTTAATAAACGTGAGTCTCCTATCCAAACTTGTCCAAATTAAGATAATTCCTGTTTAATATAGCAAGAAAATTAAGTACCTCCATTTCCTAAGCAATTACATCAAAATTCAGGGCACCTAACACCAGAATAAAGAAAGATCATATAACACCCAGGGTTTCAAATTTTTATGTTTCCAATATGAAGCAGAATTTAGACGACTGAAACCCATCTAACCAATAACCATTCACTTATATGCAGTAAAACATCTCATAAAAGATCTTTTTATCATTGTATCTAATAAGAGAACGTTAAAAACATAAAAAATGGTGGTAAAGAGGCATAAACACCAACAAGAAATCAAATAAGCCAACATAAACGTAGAAAGAGCAAAATTCAACCAAGGCACCACAAATCATTTACCTTAAACAGCTCGACATATGGACATATCAATACATACATGAAAACTTCATTTCTGAAAAGCTCCTTCACTAAGCTAATAATCAAAATCAAGCATTCATGACAAAACAGTCAACTGCAGATCAATTAACAAAACTTATATACACATAAAACATACGAAAGAAAGGAACACGGTCAATCCCAAAATCAAACAAATCCAAATTCATATGATAAGAATTGCATCAATCAAGAAACTAATAAACTTACCATGAATTTTGTCCCCTAAACCAACCGACCTACACAATACAGTAGCTTGCCGCGATCTAGCAATGGTAAAAATGTAATCAACAAGTTCCTCTTTATCAACCATAGGTCCTAAGCTATAAGTTGCCACTAAATGCAAAAACGCCAATGTCTCCAAAGAGTTATCTTTGAGCAACCTGACCTTGCCATTCCACTCTAAAGCTAACTTCTTTGCTCTCTCCCTCACTTCTTCATTGATACTAATACCAGTTTCCATCAACTGCTCCAATAAAAACACACAAACCCTCCTTAATTTAAGCAATACCGGTTGTGTGTCATCTTTGGACTGTGAATTCTCAGTGTAAAACCCATCCATTGCATCCAAAACCATTGCCCCAGGATCCGCAGCACTTTTCAATGCACCGGGAAGCTCCATCCGGATAGCGTCCCGCTCTTTTAAACAGTCGTATCCATATATGTACTTCCTCAACCCCTTCCCATCCATTCTCTCACAAAACTCCTTCAGTTCTGGTCGAGTCACCACCGAGTCAATGTGGCCAGACGGCGGAACCGAAACATAAGACGGCAAGTCCACGGAATTTGAAGACGATGGTTTCTCAACATTTAACGGTACAAGCTGATTTAACGGTTGGTTGACCACAGAATCAATGACCGAGTCAACTCGGCCTTGTTCCGTTAACGGGTTGGGAGCCGGTGGGTCTCGCTTTTTTGACGCAGGTGATTGAGTTGACAACCGAGTGAGCCTCGAAACGGGGACGTCGTCAATTGGGTTGCGAAGGGATTCGCGGGACTCGAGGAGGCGGAACCGTTGAGTTACCGAATTTTGAATGGCGGTGAAGTAAGCATCGAGCTCGGACCATGAGATAGAGAAAGAAAATAGGTGCTGAGAGTTGGCTTTGAGATCATCGAACGCCTTCTTGAGTTCGTCTTTTTTGATGTCAATGAGTTTGATTGCCGATTCTATTGTTCTCAGCGACGGGATGTTTTCATACGACATTCTTTCCACGAGATCAAATTGTGTTAAACAAAGGCGAGTTCTTTTTTATAAAAGAAAAAAAAAAAGATAAAATAAAATCCCTAAGACATACTCCTACATGAATTCTGGAACGAAAAAAAAACATATTTGAAATAGAGTAATTGACATCTGATTTCTTATGAAATAACATGTAGCTGAGAATTAGGTTTTATTTGGGCTGGACTTTACAAAATATATTTTATTTAAGTTTTAATTAAATACATTTTAAATCTTTATTTTTATTTGAAACGTTATATATTTTAAACTCATGTTTTTATTTATTGAGAGTTTTTTAGTTTATTAGATTAGAAGTATAATTGAAATTTTATATCTTTTAAAATATTTATAAATTACTTTAATCTCCATATTTTAATATTTGAAATTAAAATTTTCAAAATACTTAAGAACACTAAATGAAACTTAATATTATTTATATTACATTTACATAATTTATATTATATAAGATGTCTTAGACACGAATTCATTAAACGATCTTAGTAATAAAAGAAAATATTATTATTTCTAGAGGTTTTGAATTTGAAAAATTATGCTTATAAGGTGTATGTTGTTAATAATATTTAAGGGTGTAAAAACATGTAAATGCCACGTAAAAAAAAAGAAAACCCTTTTGAAAGGGTATTTGTAATACATTTCCTTCCCTTTCTTATTGGTTCTTGTTGCCTCTAAATACAAAGGTTGAGAGGCACTTGAAAATCATCCCAACCAAACATTTTCTAAAAGCTTTTCATTTCTTTCCTGAATTTTTAGTGTATTAATCCTTGTAGATGCCATATTACACATATCGATGTAAATTCGTTTTTAAGACAGTAGTTAATACTATTAGATATTTGTTCGCTTCTTGTTTATATATATATATATATATATATATATGGCTTATATTTTGAAATTTCTTCATTATTTATTATCATTTTTCTTTTTGATCTAACAAAAACTAGCAACTTAATATTACATAAAGACCATACAAGGAAATATTAAAAACCTAACCAAGAAATTCGAACAAAGATAAATATAAATAAATCTGATCGCATCGGCAAACGAACTACAAAAGAGAATCAAGCTATTGAAATATACAAACCGTAAATTATACTTGAGCGACGTAAAAGGCTATACACGAGCACAAATCGAGTATTCAAATCAAATCTGAGGGTCAAAAGCAGGGAAGATCAACAAAATATCAAATAAGCCCTTAAAAAAAGATAAATGAAAAAAAAGTCAAACCATTGAAAAACATATCAAAAGGTATAAAAAAATATGTCACAAAGACAGAATAAAATGTGTCATACAGGTAGATTTATTGAAAATAAAGATGCAAAATAAGAAAAGAAAAAGACAATAAAGATAACGACAATCGACGACTAACATTAAAATTAATGTCACCATCTATCAAAAAAGACAAAAAAAAAATAAACTATACACCAATGAAAAAAATGATCTTGTCTTGATTTTGAGTTAACTAAATGAAAAAATTGACCTAACAAATTATTAAATTAGTCTCTACGAAAACACATTATAACAATTTATCATTCAAAGAACTATCTTAAATTTTCAATTGAACCATTTTAAAGTTTGGCCAATAATAAATGATATACATATTGTTATAGTTTGTCCAATAATAAACTACATGCATTAAAAGCTTTCCAAAATTACAAAAGAAATTCATTGTAGAGGTGTATATATACACAGTTCACATGCACCATTAAGACTTAAAGAGTAATAATTTTTTGCCATCAAATCACACGTTCCTTCACGTTTTTTTATAAATAAAAGAATATTATTACCTAAAAGGGAGCAGTAAACTGCTACAGAACAGACATCAAACAGATACAGATACAGTATAAGCATCAAAACAGTTTCAGACATCAAAACAACCAAAGTGGAGCATGAACAACCAACATAAAAGGTTAGTCAATACCCCCATTGGATACAAAGAGAGATATTAACTATATCTATTCTATTGATTATCCTATCTCTTAGTTGAATTCTAACAAACTCCTTAATAGCTTTAAGGATTTCATCAGCAGTTCTTGAGATTCTTCAGAATAGCCTTTTGTTTCTTTCTTTCCAAAGGGAATAAATAAATGTAGTCCATGCAAGCTTCAGAATATTTATTAGGAGGGAGTTACCTGTCCAGGAACCACATGTCCATGACATTTGATGATCCCAAGACAATGAAGATCTCCGCAAGCCGGTTAGTAGTAAGATTTCATTCCATAGAGAGCTTGCTAGTGGGCATTCCATGAACAAGTGATCTCATGTTTCCTGTGCTTCTTTACATAAAACACATAAACCATCAGTAGCAATACCCATATGTTGTAATCTAACTTTAATAGGAAGTATGTCCAAAATAGCCATCCAAGCGATCATGCTGTGTTTAGGAATGTGGAGGGGAAACCAAATCAGATTACTCTAGTGAACTTTGTCTCTCTTAACCCTAGTCTCTTCCCAAATTGCACGAACTGATGTTGCTCCGGTTGAGAAAATAGCGTTGGCTTCACTCCTTAGTTTTAGTAATTTTCTGAAGGTCCAGTTGGTATTACTACCGCTATCAATGTGCCAGAAGTCTTTATCGTTGAGGACGTAGTTGTTTAGCCAAGCAACCCACAATGAGCCTTCACCTGCTAGGATACTGCGAATAAGCTGGATCATACACGCCTTACTCCACGTTTTTAAGTCCTTTAAACCAAGTCCTCCTTCAAGTTTCGATTGGCATATCGTTCCCCAGCTTATTCGAGCTCCAGTAGCCGCTTTATCTGAACCTTTCCAGAAAAAATGAGAACAGAGTTGCTCAATCTTTTTAATAATAGATTGAGGTAGAAAAAGTTGTCTGCACCAGTATTTAGCAACACTGAACAAGACCGCTCTTATAAGTTCAAGTCTACATGCATAAGACAAGAGTTTACTTGACCAGTGGTAAAGCCTGGACTTGATATTATCAATGAGAACGACACAGTCGTTTTCAGAGAGTTTCCTAGTGACCAAAGGGACTCCTAGGTATCTCACAGGAAGACATCCTTGCTTGAACCCCATAGTTTTGTTAATGGACTCCAGGATATTAGAAGAAATACTAGCTGCGTAGAATTCACATTTGGCCGCATTTAGCTTTAGGCCAGACATTTCATAGAATTTGTCTAAAACAGTAGTGACTCCGAAAACCGATTCCAAATTTCCTTTGCAGAATATTAGAAGATCATCCGCAAACATTAAGTGAGTGAGCCCTATCTTCTTACATTTAGGATGGAAGCCAAACATACCTCTCGTAACAGTCAAATTGAGAATTTAGACAACATATTCATTGCGAGGACGAATAAGAAAGGGGATAGTGGGTCACCTTACCTTATACCTCTTTCACCCTTGAAGTATATAATCAGGCTTCCGTTGAAGGAGATGAAGTATCTTTCATTTGAGAAACAAGCTTCAATCCAGTCAATGAAGGTTTTTGGTAGTTGTATAACATTTAGAACTGAAGAAATGAAGCCCCAGTGAAGAGTGTCAAAGGCCTTTTGAAGGTCAATCTTCAAAGAACATCTGGGGGAAATTGATTTCCTTCCATAGCCTTTCACCATTTCCTGTGCAAGGAGAGTATTGTCTACGATACTTATACCTTTTACAAAGACAATTTGATTTGGAGTAATCATCCCTGGAAGTAAATTGATCAGTCTTTTTACTAATATCTTAGTAATTGTCTTATAAACAACAGAGCAACATGAAATTGGCCGGAAGTCTTTGACCTTGCTTGGGTTTGGCACTTTAGGCACCAAGGCAATTGTGGTAGCATTGAAAGCTGCGAGCAAGTATGTTTGCTGGAAGAAGTATTTTATTGCGTCTACCACATCGTCTCTAACCACATCCCATGATTTTTTGAAAAAGTAAGGTGTGAATCCATCCAGGCCAGGGGATTTGTCGTTACCTTGATTGAAAATGGCTTCCTTAATCTCCTCTTTTGATACTTCCTTATTTAGATTAGATGAAGCTTCAGGGGGCAACGTAAATTGCAGCAGGCTTTTAAGTAGAGTGGGATTGCTCTCGGATACATTGGGATCTGAAGTACCCAGAAGTTTGGAGAAGAATGTAGTCACCTCAGAGGCCATCATGTCAAAGGATTAAAGTCTTCTTCCTTGTTCGTCAATAAGCACCCTGATTATGTCGCGCTTGTGTTTGACTGCCACGGCCGAATGAAAAAATTTATAGCATTTGTCATCTTCCTTTATCCATTGAGTTTTGGCCTTTTGCTTTAAGAACATAAGCTCAACCTCTTCTAGAGATGTTAACTCTTTTTGTAAGATAAGCTCTTTCTCGCAGTTGTTTTCACCTCTGAGAGTAGAAAGTTGATGTTGTTCCAGCTCCTTCCGCTTATGCTTAACTCGAATTGTTATGTCACTGTAGCATTCCTTATTGAGTTTCCTTAACAGGATTTGAGGCGTTTGAGTTTGTGAAAGAGAACATGCATAGGGTTGCCCTGAATAGTTGGTTGCCAGAAATGTCACACCTCTTCCAAATAATTGGGGTGAAGAGCCCAAAAATTGAAGAATTTGAATGGCTTCGGTTTATTTGCCTGAATTTCTTTGTTGAGACAAACTAAGGTCATACAATGATCAGAGGGACCCGGAGCAAGGAATTCAACAAATGAATTTGGAAAATTTTTCACCCATGTAGTATTGATAAGAACCCTATCAAGTTTCTTCGCAAGGAAAGAGGCTTGTTGTTTGTTGCTCCAAGTGAATAGTGGTCCAAAAAATGGGTGATCCTGAAGTGCTAAGTCTTGAGCGCATTCTTTGAATTCTTTCATTTCAGGAGAGAAGATTGGGCCGAGGAGATCATGTTCTGAACTTTCATTAGGGTGCAATATAATATTGTAGTCTCCTCCCAAAATCCAAGATAAATGGCCATAGCTCCTTTCTAGTTCTCGCAGATGACGTCAGAGATGTTTTCGAGCAGTTCCATCATTGCTTCCGTAGACTGCTGTAATAATAAGAGGGTTGCCTTGGTAGGATCCTTTGACAGAAACGCATTATGTAGAAATATCACAGATTGATAGGTCCAAATCT